TCTCTGGAAAAAAAAAAAGTTTCCCATTTTGTAATTTCACACTAAAAAAATGGAATTACTTTCATACTTATATTCCACTATTTACTCTGACACACCACTGGAGAGACTTCCAAAAGTAGTTTGGTCAAATAACTCATGTAACAATGGTTCTTATTATACAAAATTACTAATAAAGTAGAAATGACAGTCATAAGAAAGAAATTAAATGAAGAGCTCTGGAGTAGATTAATTATGTATGACAGTCAGGAAGAAACTTGTCTCATATTCAGTAAGATAACTGGATTATGCTTTCTTCTAATTTGATAGATCCAAAGTAGGACTGATGACAAGAAACTAACCAGGATGTACAACAGTTTCTACATATCACATTTTCTCCTATCCTATTCCTATGTCAAATGAGACAAATGAAATGGAGAAATACACAATAGCCAATCACTTTTGTTATTTAACAGTAAAATGACACTCCCAGAAAAACAGGAAAGACCACAAAAAGATGAAAACTGTATTAGCATACATGGTGTTACTAAAAAGCCAAACAGCATCTGTTTTCAAAGGATATATGAAATTTAGAATTTCTTCAAAATTGCACTAGTTTAGGAACTCAGTAATTTAATAAATTGAGCTTAAAAGAGATACGAATGTTTCCAGTGCTCTCTGAAGTTGTATCTTTCATCAGAACTCTGAATTTATGGTCAGGTCACTTCATCTTGGGATGCAATACATACGTCAGTACTTATTCAAAGTTATTTTTCTGATATCAAGCCTATAATGCAGGTACACTACTCTCATTTTTTAAATCAAGGAATCGTAGAATAACCCAAGTTGTAAGGGTCCCACAAGGATCACAGAATGCAGCTCCTGGCAATACACACAACAACCTCAAATCAGACTCCATGTCTGAGAGCGCTGTCCAAACACTCCCTGAACTCCAGCACTGGTGGCCGTGCCCACAGCCCCGTGCATCCCGTTCCCCGCCCACCGCCCTGTAGTGCAGCCCCTTTCCCTGACCCCCAGCCGCCCTCCCCTGACGCAGCTCCATGCCGTTCCCTCGGGCCCTGTCGCTGTCACACAGAGCAGAGCTCAGCGCTGCCCCTGCGCTCCCTGTGAGGAGCTGCAGCCGCCATCAGGCCTCCCCTCAGCTCCTCTGCTCTGCACTGAGCACACCGACGGGCCTCAGCCACTCTCATACATCTTATCCTGTACACCCCTCCCCATCTTTGTAGCCTTCCTTTGGATGACCTCTCATAGCTGTATGTCCTTACACAGTGGCATTCATTGCTGCATATGTTGCTCAAGGTGAAATCACACAGCAGAGAGCTGGGCAGGAAAACCCCTTCTCTCTCTGGCTGGCAGTGCTGGCCCTCATGCATCCAAGTACCTTTTGGCTGCCAGGGCACATTGCTGACTCAGATCCAGCTTGCCATCAATAAAAAAAAAAAAATCATGGATCCCTTTCCATAGGACTGCACTCCAGTCTCTCACCTCCCAGTCTGTACACAGAACAAGAATTACTTCATCCCACATGCAGAATCTGGCACTTGTTAAAATTCATGTGGTTGATCATTGCCCAGCCCTCTAATTTGTTAAGATCTCTCTGCAAGGCCTGTCTACTCTCAAAGGATTCAAGAGCTCCTTCTAATTCAGTGACTTCTGCAAACTTCCTTAGTATACATTTGATTCCTGTGTCCATTTTAAAAAACATTGAGAATTGCCCCAAAAATTGAGACCTGGGGAACCCCCTAGTGACTGGTGACCCCATTTAAACGTAACTCTATTTATTATAACCCCTTCACACCCATCCATCAGATAACAGTTCACTGTAGCTGGCTGTATTCTGAACAATTTCTCCAAAACAGTATGATGAGAGACAGTATTGAAAGCTTTGCTGAAATTCAAAAAGACCACACCTACTGGGTTTCCTTGGTCAAGTAGGTGGGTAACTTTGTCATAATGGAAATTAAGCTTGTTAAACAGGACTTCCTGCTCACTGTCGGCTTTTACCAACGACTGCACTGTCTTTCATGTGTTTTTCAGTGACTTACAGAATAATCTTCTCCATAATTCTGCTAGGCACTGAATAATAATAACAGCAGAATTACATTAAAAATTCTCTGACCTTTCACTCCTAACACAACTATCGATCTTTTGGCACACATATTTTGTCAGAGGATATTGTTTTCTTCCTCTCTTGACTCAAATGGATTCAATGGTGCTCGACACTGATCTACTGCCAGCTAAGCCAGCACTGTATTTCTTATGTACTTTCAACTACAGCATCTATTTCCATATGTAAATGAATTCTACATAGTAACACACTGACTTACTAGGGTATTTTCTTCACTATATTTGTTGTTGTTTTTTTTTTGTTTTGTTTTACATTTCATTTGCCTCTATGTTCCACTTCCTGCAAGATGTAACTATAACGCTGATGTCATCTAAGTCTACAACCTCCTACAAAATCTCTGTAGAAGTCATTTGTTTTAATGAATTTGTACCACATGAAACACCATTACAACAAAGTATCTATTGGTTGGCTTCAAGTTTATGGTTAAAAAAAAAAAAAATCAATAATGATAATCTAATTCTTTTTGCTGAACTTCACTTTATAACTCAAAATAATTCTAGGATTTATACACATGCTGGCCTCAAATTTATGTTAATGTTTTTCACAATAATGATAATCTGATTTCATGCAAAGAAATTTATTTTACAGCAGAATACTGCTAGGGTGAGACTGTATGCTAGAGACAAAAGCTTCAAAATGTAGACAAATGTTTGCATTATTTTTTTGCATTGACTACTATTATTTCCTCCTCCCAAAGGAGCTTTGATTTACCTAGAATCCTCCAGCTTCTCTCATCATTACACGTAACCTTTTCCAGCCCTTTGCTTCCACCTTTATTCTCTCCAGTGGCTTGCAGTACAATATCACATCAAATTACTTAAAATTCCCCTCAGTTAGATTTTCATTTTATATTTTAGGAACTTTGCTTACATAACCACGAAGGCACTCTGTCAGGCTGACAATAGATGACTACTTAGCATTTCCATAATACAGATTTAAGGACTCATAAAACCTATTTATTTTTACAACTTTTGCATTTGGGAGAAGATTACTTGCAAATATTGTATACCAGTCATGGCATTCTCCACAAGCTAAAACTAATAATTTTGAAATCATCTGCACAGGAGGTCAAACTCCTTTTTTCCACTTCCATAGTGTTTTTTAGTTATCAAATCTAATGAAAACAGAAATTCTGATGAGCAGATGAGCTCAAATAGGATGGCCAGGAAAGCTGCAGAAGAAGGAAAGAGTCTTCTGCTGAATTACTGGAGCTTCCAAAAGCTCCCAGAAGTAAGATACATAATTAGATTTAAAAAAGGTGTTCACAAGGAAGGCTGTTCAGATTACTGAAAAAACACAAATTGCTTTATAGAATGGGAAGGCACATTGACTTCTCTACTCTTCCCTGGGTCCTATATCGTAATTTCTTCCTCACATGGTGATACCACCATCACTGCAATGCCCCAAGCTTTAAATGTCTTTCCCTGCAGACAGAAAATTCTATTTAGCTCCCACCTTAACCTGTATTGCAACCAAAGTCCTACTCTGAGGTCTCACACAGAGAACAGTTGATTATTTTTCTCTAAGAAAGAGTTTATGTGACTGAAGAGAGGTGCCACATCCCTCCTTAGCTTTCTCTTTTTTAGTCTCATAAGTCCTGTTTTTAAAAGCTTTCCTTAAAGACAATGTTTTCCTAGCCTTTGATATTCTTGTTTTTCTCTGGACTCAGCATTCCAACAAAATTATGACAAATAACTATTCCTTAGAAGTTTTTAGTTGTTGTTTAGAGATTCTCATTAAAATCTTTAGAAATATACTACAATTTTTTATGCATTTTGTTGTATGGTATTCTAGTTTACTCACTCAAAACTTTCAAAAGTATATATTAAATACACAAAAAATTAGTTAACTAACAATTTTTCTGGTACTTACTGAACCAGGCATCACCCCAAAGGCATGAATCAAACTATTTTTCACAAGCACCCTGATACCCTCTGAAACTGATGGAAAGAACTCTAATCACATAGGAAACTTCCCATTCACATCTGCTGATTGAGATATTTCAAAATGTACTGAAGGATTTCTAGTACAGTAATACATGTCATTTCATCTTCCAGGTAAGACAAACACAACCTTGCAAACTAATATATGTAAGTTTATTTGATGATTTTTGTATTTTTTTAAATGTTTATTGCGCTGTATCTGTTCTAGTTTTATATGTACATTAAAGATTCTGCTCAAAGTCACTGATAAATTCTGTATTATAACAAGAGATATTTAAACCATTTAGGCATCCATTAGATTATGCATCTCTGTCATTACTAACAGACAGCTAGCTGAGAAATGGCTAATTATCACATACTCTGTCACGCAAATTTACTACAGAGTGGAAGCTTCCCTCTAACACTTTCTCCTGACACTGCTGATACCTCTTTCAAGCTCCTCAGACATAAGAGACATTGATCACTGTTGTTGCCCAAGGAGATACTAGCTTGTTACAATCACGTTAAGATGCTCAGAGGTTGTAAAGTATTTCACCAATGGTATCTATTAGAGCTAATGCTATAAATAAAAAGAGGTTATAATAATCTTATGTTTCTTCATACTACAAGAATCCTGAGCTGTATGGAACCGAACAGGCTCCCAACCATGCATAGCATGCTATGCTCTTCTTTTACAATTAGCTTGTAAAATTGATCCTCAAGCAAAAGGATAAGCACAGCACAGAAGGTCAAGCACAGTGCAGCACAGACCTATGCTTACTTAGGTTAACCATCACATGGACTTTGACCTCTTTGGTGTACAATGGTCTTCTGCTTAGGAGCATTACAGAGTTCTACTTTTTGGTAGAACATAAGTAAGCTCTTCAAAGTAAATTGAGATTACTACATTATAGAGCTGTTCAAAAAAAAAAAAAAGCATTTAAGTTGCATACCTGTAAGCACCACTGTGTGTTCTCCACCACAAGCAACCTTATTAACTTTTTCCATAATTCCCAGTACTGGCTGTGGGACTCTACTGTTCTTAAGCTGCTCAGGCAGTAATCCCAGCTTTCCATTCTCAGGTTCCCCAAAAGTGTAGAGTTCACCATCTCCTGTAAAAATATAGAACAGAAAAGTAAGGTTACATTGTCAAGACAGCTGCAGACACAAGTCAGTAATACAGAAAAGTATATGAATGTTACAGGACAGCTGAACATATTTGTAGAATGATTAAATAGTTGTGCTTTAATGGGATATGGAGGAGCAAAATTTTAATACAAATCTCTCACCAAGATAAGAGTCTTTAGTCTGCAAGGAACACTACTGGAGAAAAATAAAACCATACACATCCTTTTTGGAGAGGTTATTATTCTCAGCTGATAAAAATGAGTACAGAGGGATTGTCTGCAAGTGTTTCAATTAAAACAGAAAATACTGATTGAAAATAAACACTTTCTTGTGAATATAACACACACACAAAAAAAAAAGGAAAAAATGAGTAATTGACAAGAAACTGTGTGAGGTCTAGACAACAATAAATGAATTACATGTCCAACAACAGCGATTCCACAGCAATAACTCAACCAAAATTAAGTTCAGGAAAATACTGAGAGGTCTTTACAAATACATTCCTGCAGATGAATTACATGTCCAACAACAGCGATTCCACAGCAATAACTCAACCAAAATTAAGTTCAGGAAAATACTGAGAGGTCTTTACAAATACATTCCTGCAGCACCTTTCTTATCTTCTACATAATAATTACACAAAAGATCCTTCTCATTTACCCAGACTTTCTAATCATTCAGTTCAAAATCTGTCCAATCCCATGTTTGGGTAATTTATTGTACATTCAAAGTGTCCTTTGTTTCACTTTTCCCACTCGCCTTCTTTATTTTTCACTGCTATGCGAGTCTGAATTACCATGTATACCCTTCTGTAATAGTTACAGAAAGAATGTATAAAATGTACTTTCCATTGCAATATTTACAATTTGTATATTCCTGCCTCTATGCACATCTCTGACTTTCTGAGCTAAGGAGCCTCTCACTACTGTAAATAGGCCAGAGTGAGGTTTTCGGGGAGAATGCTTCCTTACTGTCAGGAAAAGTTTCAAATTAATAGCTGAGTGTTCTCCAGACAAGAGTAATGATATCTGTGGAATAACATCTTCAAAGCAAATCATGGTCCATAGTATTTAAAAATATTTACCTGCCCCAAAATCATAAAGCACGATTTTCTAAGAAAAAAATTTTTTGTAATCTCACCTGGATATGAACCACAAGGATAAACAGAACTCTCACATGGAGCGAATCTAAGACAACAAAATGTTTAGACCAGGGTAGGAGCTGCCAGTTCAAGGAAAATTGGAAGAGAAAGCTACATGATAAGAAACCATATACTTACACTCAAGTAACAAAACTCAGTCATCGGAAGTATCTACATAAAATACTTTTGGGAAAATGTGCAATTGTGAGTCCACACAACATGTATTTTTGCTATCAGAGGGATATGTTTAGCATTCATAAACTTGCTTTTGCAGAATTCAGAAGCATTACTATTGCACTATGTACAACAAATGCTTGAGAGTTTCTTATTCAAAAGCTACAAATTCCTTATTGATATGAGAGCTCAGCTGACTTTAGAAATGCTGTTTCTTGTCCAAAGACAATGAAAACAGATGAGCTCACAGAGTTTCAAAGCAAAAGCCTTGCTTAGATGTTCAGAATTGCCCATTAGAGAAGTCCAACTCTCCACTGAGCAAAGGTAGAGCCTGATAAGCTTTTTTTCATAGTGTAGCTCTTGGATTTGTTGCTTTACCTTATACTTTGTGGGACCAAAACTTAAGTTTTGGGAATCAAATTTCACCTGGCAATGACCAAAGAATAAGTTTGCATGGAAATAGAAGACATGGAAGATTTAAAAGTAAACCAGTGCATACAAATGTAAAGCAGAAAGAATGCAGCTAAGCATACATCCTAAAAAGCAAAGAGATTAGCCAAATGAACAAAATCAAGTTAATAAAAAAAATGTAATTCAAAATAAGGGAGTGTTATTAAAATTTGGATGTAACAAGCCAAGACAGGCAAGAAATTTTACCTTCTCAAACTTTTAATTCTGAGAATGAGAAAGTTAAAACCAGTGTAATTTAGAAATGTGTCTTTTAATTGGATTTTCCTGAGCTTTACTATGCTAATAGAATCATAGAAAACTGGGTGGAAAAGGGACCTTGAAGATCATCTAGTTCGAACTCCACTATTGTGGGCAGGGCTGCCCACCAGCTCAGGATGCCCAGGGCCCCATCCAACCTGGCCTTGAGCACCTCCAGGGATGGGGCACTACAGATTCTCTGGGCAGCAGTGCCAGGGCCTTATCTCCAAGTGAAAAATTTCCACGTAACATCTAACCTAAATCCGCCCCTTTCAGTTTAATGCCATTCTCCCTTGAACTATCAATATCAAAGCATGTAAAAAGTTAGTCTCTCTCCAGCTTATAAGCTCTCAAGTATTGGAAAGCTGCAATGAGTCTTCCCTAAGTCTTTTATTCTCCAAGCTAAACAAGCCCAGTTCCCTCAATCCTTCTACATGAGAGATGCTCCAGCCCTCTGATCACCTTTGTGTTTTTCCTTGGCACCCACTTCAACAGCTTCACCTCTTTCTTGTGCAGAGAAGAGGCTTCCTAAGGTCAGAGTAGAGGTGGACAATCACATCCCTCTCCCTGCTGGCCACTTCTCTTCTGATGCAGTCCAGGATACAATTGGCCTTCTGGGCTGCAAGAGCAAGCACACTGTTGGCTCATGGCTTTATTTATCAACAGCTTTTTGTCCACTGGAATCCTCAAGTCCTTCTCTGCAGGACAGCCCATAACGTGCTCTTCTCCCAGTCTGTATACATACCTGAGATTGTACCAACGCAAGTGCAACATCTTGTACTTGCCCTCATTAGGTTCTTGTGGAATCACTTTCCAAGCCTAAATCCCTCTGGATGGTACTCCTTCCTTCTATCATGTCAACTGCACCAGTTAACTTGGCATCATCAGCAAACCTATTGAAGGTGCCCTCGATCCCACTATCTGGGTCACTGATAAAGATATTGAGTAGCATCAGTCTCAAGATGGACTCCTGGGAGACACCAGTCATCACTGATCCCTACAGATCTGTTGACCATAATCCTCTGGCTGCAACTATCCAACCAATTCTTTATCCACCAAACAGTGCAGCCTTCAATCCATATCTCTCCAATTTAGACTATGTGGTGCTTGACCATATCAAAGGTCTTCACAAGTTTGGGTGGATGAAATCAGTCGCCCTTCGTTTGTTCACTGATGCTGTGACTCCATCACAGAAGGCCATCAGGTTGGTAAGGCACAATCCACTCTTGGTGAAGCCATACTGGCTATCTCAGATCACCTCCTTATCTCACATGTACCTTAACACAGGTTCCAGAGGATCTGCTCCATGACCTCTGCAGGCACACGTAAGGCTCGCTGGCCTGTAGCTCCCCAGGTCTTTTCTCCCTTTCTTAAGGACAGGAGTGATGTTTCCCTTCTAGTCACAGGGATTTTGCCTGGCATCCATGACTTTTCAAATATGATGGAGTCCTTCAAGTACTATACTTGTGAGCCACTAAAACACAACCTCCCAGCTGTTCTTAGCTTTCCTTTCATTCTCAACATATTATTTTTTCTCCTTCACTAATGATATTTTTTCTTTCCTGCACACACAAATTACTTTAAATGAAAACAATAATAGTACAACAACTCACTTATCTGCATGCATCTATGAAAAAAATACCTTTGTCACATTCTTCTATGCTCTAAGTGGTGTTTTGTAGTCATTATAGTCTATTTTTTAAATAAAGAGCAGACTATCTCAGCTACAGAAAAGTATATTTCATTTCACTTCTAAACTATGTACTGTGTTTATGGTTCTCTGTTCAGTCTGATTTTCTATTTTAATCCTGGTTTTCTTATGTGCAGAAACACTCTGAATAGACTTCAGTAACTGATACTTTAAATTATGTGCAGTTTTTAAATTCTAAAATACTAAGCCTAATTAACAGCAAAAAATCAACCTCAGTTTGAGGTTTACTGTAACCAAAACATTTGATTGATTCAAGAGGCATCAGTGCTCCTACTGTCAGGTTTTATTAGTCATTGTAAAAAACAAACAAACAAAGAAACAAAAACAACAACAAAACAAGTACTTTTTGAAGGTAAGTGTGAATATTTTAATACTCTCAGACTTGTCATGTAACAAAGTCACTCCAAGAGAAATGCCTCCTATTTATTTCCATGGAAACTCCAACATATACAAAGAGCACAACAACACTATTTGACAGAAAAATTCTCAGCTTTGTGGCTATTTTCAACATCACCACGAGCTATGCATATGCAGCAGCGATGAACAAGAGCCTGCAGCCCCCCCACACTTGTAAAACTGCACTAGCAGACAGAACCCACTGTCACCACTGCTGAAACGCACTGCCCATCACCTCACTGTGCTCACATTTGCTGTCTGGTCTCCATAACGTTCAGCAGGTGTTGATGGATGTCAGTGGGTGCACGGAGGAATTCAGTGATGCACCTTTGCTTCATACACACTGTCACTGTGTCAGACTGCCCTTCTGCTGCCATCTGTCACACGGCAACAAGATGTTATGGAATACTGGTGGGAAGGTTCAACCTCTACTGTCATACCACCAACATCTGCCTCTGACATTGTGGACCAATGTAATAAAACAGGAAGCATTACTTTCAGAACAGCCCTCATATTTCTAGCAACAAGTTCAGGAACCCTGCAGAGCACTTGCTAACTATGTATGCAATTCTCTTCAAAGAGATCACAGTGTTTGTTTTTTTTTTTTTGAACACTACTGCACAGTAAATATTAATCCAACCACAATCTAATTAACAGGATTAGAGATTAAAATGGTCAAACTTCCATTGACTTCCTAACTAGACAAGTTTATTGCATTTTTTTTAAACTTAATAATCCAGCTGCCAAAGAGAAGGCCATTTACTAAGGTAATTCTGGAACATATTACACATCATTTTAAGTCATATGGTAGTCTGGAAATTATGGAGAATAGCTATCAGGCACAAAAAAGATTGAATCAAACACAGATACATTTTCAGTACAGCATATGTGCATGTTAAGGACATTCCATTCAAAGTAAGTCTTCTGGTTGTTTATTTTCTACTGTCGTATGAGCCCTCTGTCATCCTCACATGTTGAACTTTCCTTAGTGAGGTACATTTCTGCTTTCACTATGCTTTAGCTCACAGCAAGATGTCAAGAAAAAGAACACACCAACAGAAAGCTATCTTTGCTCATAGAAGACAAATGTGCATAGTGCTGGAATCCGTACACCACAACTTCCTTTTCCTTGACTGTCTGTTATTAATGAACATCCTGCCCTGGAGAGGGCACTCTGTGACTACACTATGTGTTCTAGTGTGCCCTCATTAACCATCCATTTTAACCCAAACATTCCTGTGATCCTATCAGCCTGCCTAGCCAGCATACAGTTTACGCCAAATATACATACGTTCAGAAAAGGAGCCCTATGGTGCCATGCTCATCAGTTCAACCCAGCAACATATATCAAGTTATATATATCCTTCAACCATGTTTTATTAGGTAGTGTACTACCTATGCTATATATACTACATACATTAGATAGCGTACTTCTCAAAGCGTAAGTCGTGTTTAAAAAGACAAATTGCAGTAATACTACAGTACTGTAATAACTGGTAAGTAACAGGTATTGAAAGCTCTCTATTAACAGTTTCTTCCATAGTAATAACTGTGATCTATGAAAGTCCCTCTGCACAGATGTCAAGGGAACTAATATTGATTACATACTTACTTGAATTACTGTTAAGTATTAAACATCAGTTACTACCAATTCTAGTGTACATGGTTGAATTGTACATCTAAAACACACGGAAAACCCCTGCTATGCAAACCTGAAAATATACTTTAAGGCATAATTTGATGACCAACTGGAAATTTAGGGAGAAAAACCCATATCTCTATTATATATAAGTATTACAGGTACTACACAATTATCCATTTTGCTATGTTTACCACCCCTGAAAGGCAGAATACTGAGGATGTCAACCACTGTTTGGAGCTAGTGCAGCAAGTACACAACAACAAATTTCAACAGGAAATAAAAAAAATTCTGTGAACTATAAAAGTATCTTTTTCCTTTTTCACACAAAACTCTTTAACAGCATACTGCCTTCCTAACTAGACTGTGAGGGAAAAAAAAAAAAAGAATAACTACATATGTATTCAGACTCAGCTCACAGAATTTCCAAATTCATAATTTTATGGCTAGCATCACAGCTAAAATAATGGGTAATTATGGTACACTTAAATGCATAAAGCTTTGTTTTTAAGTTCTGTCTGGCTATACACCTACATTAATGCAATAGATTATTTCCCTTATTTCCACTAAAGTCCAAAACTAAACTTCTATTTAAGGTATCAGTCAAAGAAAACTGTCAGCAAGGGCACAGGGAAAAAATATCAAAAAATATTTCCCCTTTCACCATAAAACAGGTGAACAACAAGGCAGTCAGGCTCAATTTTTTTTGTAGGATTTGCAGATACTGGAGACTGAAAATTAAGACTTCCCACCTCAGAACTAGGCTTGTTTAAACAGTAATGCATTGAACAAGTTCCTGTTTTCACAGCTAAAAACCAGTTTACCATCTTAAAAAGATTTTAAGAGGCTCAATTTCAGTACGGACATTTTTTTCCATTTATTTCAAGATCAGGAAACTACAGAATTTCTAGCAGTTGCTGACCGCTTGACCAGTCAGAGGTACTTAAATGCTTTACAGTAAGAAAACATCTGTAATAGAAGTTGCATACTACCAGCATAACATCTAGTTAATACTTGGTCATCTCAAGAAGGTCTCATTCTGTTAAGAGCACGTTCTCAGAGAGCTAGATATTGTATGTGGTGTACAATCAATGAATATTAAGATGTTATAATTACAAAATAAACAAAAGAGTTCAGCAAAGCAGATTATGCTAACAAAAACAGAATAGAGGGAAAGCTTACCCCTATCCTGGGCTCACTTACAAAACTCCAGCAGAATGGATCTCCAGAAGAGATCCTTCCCCACTGGTAGTCAGCTCTTAAATGGGTCTAGGAGAGGCGCAGCCAGGTTCCACCCCTTCCTGCAGCACAGGTGAATTGCCTTCAGCTGTGCTCCCATGGCTGACTCAGTGCTCGCCTCAGGTGATCAATCAGAGGTTCAGGCTGTGACTCAGCAGTTCCCATACAATATGGGAAGGTAATATTTATCAAGTAAGCTGAGAAAAGTAGCTGATAGAATGGTTACTGGGTACCCATTAAAGGCTTTACAATTAAAACTATTGATCCTTTGAAATCTTCAATTGCTCTGAGGGGACACAACTGTGTATCTTAATAATGTAAATCTATAAGGCTGAGAGGAATTCATAGCTGCGCACTTCTAATACCATCCATACTGACGGACTAATTCAATCACATTAGCATTATTAAAAGATGAGTGGCAGCATCACTTTGTAAAGGAAAAAAGAGGTGAAAAAATACAGAAGTGGAAAGCAGTCAAGAGGTGGGTTGGCTTGGAGATCAGACATCAGCTCATTGTAGTGTATGCTTCTTGTACTGTATATTGCCTCTTTAATTGACTTCAAAACTTAAGACTTAACATCAAACTTTTACAACAATATTGCACTGCTAGCAAACAAGATTATTTTTTCTCCAAAATATAGTTATTCTATTCCAAATTTTTATGTCTAGGAAAGACGATTATTTGATCAACACAGGAACAAGAATAATCTCAAGAAAAAATGGACTACTGAAACCGTAGTATTAATCAACAGTTGTCATAATCTTCATGAAACTAATGCTATCTGTAGTAAGACAGCAATTTTTCCTAACATTTTTTTGTAAATCATTGTGCACATGCAGAATATTTACAGCAATATTTTTTCATGGAATTTCTAATTAAATATAGAGTACATTATAGATAAGATGACATGTAACTTTTCCAAGTAAGTAATATGGAACCTCATTTTAGAGAACATCTATATAAAATCTCCCTGTGTGACACATAACCACATAAATGGCTTTCTTACCTGACTGCTATTGCTTACATAGTTTCAAAAGCAGCGAATGTCTCATTAGCTACCTTCATAAAGACTACAATCTCAGTACCACTGACTTGCCTTCACTAGCCTCTATTCTCATTAGCTTACCTGTTATGAAGGCAGAATGATAATATCCACAGGATATAGAGGAAATGGGTTTTCCAACATCTACTTGACAAGGGACACTGACGTAGGTTTTGTCAGCCAAGCCGATCTGACCTTCTGAATTATCACCCCACACAAAAAGCTGCCCATCCTCTAAAGTAAAGACACAGAAAGTTAATAGATTTAAAAGCAAGACTACACTAATAAAAAGTTAATGTAACTATTCAAGAAGCATTTCATAAACTCTATGTACAACACTGTTAAATGTCAAAATCTCAGAGACAAAAAGTGATGTTTAGCACAATGCAACACAATAGTCTGAAATATGAGGCTATCCCCTAATCTTTTCAAAAGTAACTCAGAAGTGATCAAATCCTCTTACACAATAAATAGCAAAAGTAAAAACTACATACACAATTTCCTTCAAAAAGAGAAAAAATGAGAACATAAGACAACTCAGTTGCCAGATGCCAGCATTAAAACAGTGAATTGAAGACTTAGTGTCATTTCTGGTAGCACCTCACTACTTTTTGTTCTTCCAAACTTATACTTTGTTCTGACTTCGGTACACATCTCACTTATTTTTTCATTATCTTATGGTTCTTTTCAGAGATTATTATATTGGCCAGCTTTATTTTGTTTTCCTTAAACTATCAGCTGTTCCAAGTTTATTAAGACCAGCCTCCGCTGACACAAAGACCAAAGGCAGCAGCAAGAACCAAAAAAAAAGTAGTGAACAATATGAAAAATCTTAAGATTTTCTAGAAGAGGTAAGGCCTTGGCTTATTTCTTATTGGTGGGACATAGGCTGTGACTAAAGAACTATCATATACAATGTTACTGAGATGTCTGTTGGAACCACACTCATTCAAAGTTCATTTACAAATTTTATGAGGATGCTAATTGTCACAAAAAATACAAGAAAGAGGAGCAAGCAAAGTATATCTTCTTTATACATTGATGCTTTGTCACATTCTGAAATCACAGCCCCAATAACTTATCCTAAACATATACAGAAACAATTCCTGTTAACAGGACTGGAGAAATTACAGGTTAATAAACACATACAACAGCCAAATGTATTCTAATCGTGTAGACTGCATCAAGTCATCACCATGTAATTTTGCCATTGAAGACACTGCTCAGGCAGCTCTCAGAATTAGTAATGACACAGCTGTGTAGCCTCTATCAGTAGAGCAAAATAATTGCAGTAAGAAGTAGAATTAGAGAAGCTCAGTTTCCTTTTTTTTAGCTGGCTTTCCTTGAAATTAATTGAAGTTTTTCCCACTTTGAGTCTATTTATACCGTCTTTCCTTTGTATGGATTCTTAGTAACCAATACAGACTGAGACCTCACTGCACACCTACAAAAACCATAGGATGCTATTCAGAAGCAACCCCTCAACATATTGTACTGACATATGCTATTGGCTGTAAAAAAAGTTTCAAGGCTTAGTGGGGAAAGAAGACAGGGAGGCATAGAAAATACACACATGCACGCAGACAGAAACCAGAATAAATGTTTCTCTGCAACACCAGGCTTGAAGGCATAAACAGATTTTCTTAGTTGTTGCTCTTACCAGTTACTGCTGCTGAGGTGTATGATCCAGCAGCGAGCTGTTTGATCTTGTGCTGGTTGGTAAAAAAACTAATTAAATGAAATGTGGTCCTTTCCTCTGTGTCACCTAATCCCAATTGACCTTCACCATTACCTCCAGCAGCATACACGTTCCCATTTTCTGCATACAGAAAAGCACATGTAATACACAGAATGAGGATATGCTCAGTGGTAGCAAAAAGTCAGAGAAATTGCAGCAAGTCATTTAATTTTTTACAGAAAAGTATGGGGTCTATTGCTCTCAAATAGTCTAGGGCTGACACTGAATGTTCCTGCTATAACTAGCAGGGAGGCTTTCCTGCAGGCATTTAGATCAGAACACTCTAAAGGCCTTACAAATCCATAGACTGAACGTGCTTCCCAACATTTTGGAGTCTGATCTGAAAAATAAATATAATTTTAAGTATTTATTTAATTTAAAATACAGTGAGGGGAAAATGGAGACTGATGACATGGACAAGAAAATTAAAGAGATGTGTAACTTGACAGTTTTGAATAACAGGAATGAAATACATTTTTACTTACATTTTTATTAAAAATATTTTACTCGTTTTAATATTTAAATCACTTTCAATTTAATTAGCTTGATCTTACTTTTTCTTTAGAATCTTACAATTGAAGTTAAAGTTGATGATTAATACCTTTCACCTAAAAGAACTTCCAAATCTGTATTTTTAATTTCAGCATGTTTCACATTTAAAGTGATCATCTATGATGAAAAACACAAGGTCAATAAATAACATAAATCCAGACACAAAAGTGATATATACTTCTGATACTGACATATAATTTACAAATGGTCCCTAATATAAAAATGGCCACAAATTACTCAGCTAGGGAGTATACTAAAAGTGACTAATATTTACCCTGTGCATTCTAGCAGATTCGACTGCCATTAAAATGTTCTGTTTTATTCCAGTAGTCTTATTTACTGTGCTCTGGGTATCCACATATGTAAACCCCATAATAATCAACAACTCTCTTTATAACATTACCTCTAAAGCACTGTAAGAACAAAGATGGCTATTCCATTACATAAATTTTAGAGTCGTGATGATAATTTGCTCTCTCAAAACATTTTTTTGTTTAAATTTACAATTTATTTATTTATAGTTTAATAAAGTGACTTGTCAATGAAATAGCAGACTGTCGTGTCTAAATAAAATGCAACATACTTCGAAGGCTTCAAAATATTATGTTCTACTGCTTTTACTTAAATACAGAACTCCATGCTCATAAGAATGCATTCCTTGTCAAGGGTAAATTTGAGTACAGATATATAAAAATACTCCTGTGCACACAGAGTGCTTCCATGAAATACTGGCAATTGTTAACCATGCCTCAAATACAGATAAAAAGATAAAAGTACAGATAAAAGCCAGTGAATTCCTATAGACCATGATTTTTGAAATGTGTTGCAGAATAATTCAAGCATTCAAAGATCTGGATATTAAAAAAAACCAACAAATTTTAACAGCATATTCTTCTCCTTTTTATCATTCATGTGCAGTTCTAGGGTTAGCAATATAATTTTTGCATTTAAAATAAGGAAAAAAAATCCACCTTCAATATGTACATAATTTGTTACATACCTGTGTAAACTAAAGTGTGGTTTCTTCCACAAACAGCAAGTTTTGTTTTTTCTGGTTTTAAAGCTATGAATGAAAGCGAAAGGAGGAGGGAAGTTACAAACAAGCTGACAGCTGGCTCAACAACACAATGTTCAATGCTCTAGAGAAAACTGATCGTTTTTCATACTGCTACCAACAGAACGACTACAAGGTTGGCTGGCCATTTGGTCTTAGCACATGACTTAGTAACCAGGATTAGGGTTAGGGTGATGGTTGGTGACTTGATGATGGTTACTTTACTCCAATGCCACACTCCACAGAATTTACTATTAGTAGGCTATGCCTCAAAGAATACATCAATTTGCAGAACAAAATGCATGCTTAGAGCTTTCTTCCATTTTCACTAACAGTAACGTTTTCAATTCACACTTTTGCTTCTCTCGCTAATTAAAATCTTTAAACTCATTCTTTTCTTTTTTTTTCCTTTTTTTTTTTTTTTTTTTTTTTTTTTTGGTCTTATCATCCATACCTTCCTCACTGTGCACAGCTTTTCTTGATAGACTTTTGCTCTACACTGCCATTCTACGAATTACTAAATTCACAGTTCCTAAGGCCGGTCCTATGTCTAGGTTTTGAATACATCACCCCACCTCAGTGGTGCTGAATTACCATCCATCCATGCATAATATTCTCTGCAGTCTAGTCACTATGAAAGACTGGGAACGTACACAAGAGGATGTATCAAGAGTTATTTTGGTGGAAACAGAGAACAGTGTTGGCTTTAGCCCATGGTAAGTGCATTCCAGCTCAGAAAGAGTGAAAAAATAATCTCACTGACTTTTTCATCTTCTCCTCAGTTTTTAATCTTTGCCAGCATTTTTTCTTTACTCAGCCATGTCCATTTTCAATATACAATACTCAAGCTATTAAAAAAGCATTATGTTTACATAATATATTTTTAATTTTTTTCCACTCACTGCATTGGTCCTTGACAAAGACAACAACATAATTCCTTTCACAAAATCCTTTTCAGTCCCTTCAAATCAATCTTCATCAGCACCATAACATTCAGATTAAATTCCTTTCTCTTTCCTACCAAGCCACGACATAAATCTATTTGCTTAAGGATGAAGTCTCTGATGTCAAAAATACACAAATAGAAATTGTCCAAACTCAGAATCCTACATATCCTGACACCTGCCCTCAGCAGCAGGCAGGAATCATAACATTTCCAATATGTGGTTTCTTCTTACAATATTAGTTTGCTGTTTCATTTCCCAGCAATAATCTTGATCAGCTCACTAGAAGCTTGTGCTCCCTAACCTTGCTCCCACTTAGGCTAATCAATCATATATATAGCTGGCAGTTTTTCATAACCAATTTCATTAGTCTTCAGTTAAGTCCCAGAATGATTTTGTCAGAAAATGAGCAGCCACAATTATTACAGCTGGAGCAGAAATGGAAATGTTGCATTCACAACTCCATTCCCAAAGCTAACTAATGCCTGAAAGCTAGTGAGAAAAGCTCCAGAACACTCTTCTGCTGCCTACTGCCAGGAAAAGAAAGATAGCCCCCTTGTGACTTTTTTTCAGTGGAAGCCAGGACTGTTCTGAATTGCTGCCATCTTCTCTCTGTCTTCTATTGTCTGTTGCAACCTGGCAGTAAAACAAAACTTGACACCCAATCCATTTGAGCCAAAGTAAGAATCAGTCTCTCATATGGCTGACAGAAGACGTGAACCTGAGAGAATTTTCATTCTCCCTCTGAACTGAAATAGAGAAGCAGATAAAGAACAGTAAAATAAAATAAATCAAGAAGAAAAGTTTGAACAAACACGGTGAATTCATTTTTAAACAATAAGCTAACAGGCTGATCCTCTAAGAGAAAGGATGAGGATAAGCATGAATTGATGAAAAGGGGTGTGTGTTAATGGGACAGGTATTATTGGACATACATAAGGAGGCAGGAAAAAATATTGACTCAGTTTTGCTTGACAAGATAAAGCTGGCAAGGAAGGATTCAAAAGGTAACAATATAATGAAAATATTTTACAAAGTAAGTAAGAAGATGGGCATTATTTTACTGCTTTTTTATACTTTATACAAACATATCTACGTTTATGACCACTTGGACAAATCACAGACTTGCTAAAAAGAGCTAAAAAGACTGGATGCTATATAGTTGAAATGACTCTCAGATACAAAACAACCCAGAACCTGGAACTGATGGAAAAGCAGTGGGGCTTCCTTTTAAACTGTCTTTAAGAGTTTAAGCAGTAATATGCTGCACGTGATGAACAAAGAAATCGGAATCAGTTATTTTGGAGCAGTAAATAAAGCACTTCTTCACAACGACAAACCAAAAAAGGACAGAAAAAGAAATTAAACAAACCTTTAACACATGTTGGTTTGTGGACAGTATTCTTTGATCCTAGTCCTAATTGGCCCCAGTCGTTACTGCCAAACACGTAAAGTTTACCATTCCCTGCAAGAGAAGGCACAGTCAGAATCCATGAGCATTTGAATATCTCATACAAGATGAGGTGCTCATACATACATTATGCTATTTATTATAAACTTTTTAATGTAAGATTTAGAAGTAGGCAATGCCATGTGCATGACCTGATTTTTCAGCAAGTACTGCAGTGTAAATGTACTTAGTCAGAAACAGGTACACAGAAGAAATGACAAAAGAGAACAAGCATCCTTTCCTTAAGCTACTGCTCAGATAAAGCACTCATCAGAAAATAAAAAAGGAGTGCTCTCAGACTGATTTAGCAGTCTCTATAGACGTACTGACAAAATAACAGTGCATTAACTGAGCACCCACACCTCTACCTCAGACACAGACATCAATAATGCAGCAATTTAATTAATATAAACAAACATTTGTGATTCTCAGCTTATTTTGCTGTCTACTGGGAGAAAATATTCAATTGCTAAATGTCCTGTCTTAAAATGACCTGCAAATTGCAGTTCTTTACAACATAATTTATGATAAATTTTCAAATGTGTTCACAAATTAGATGGGTTTTCCCTTGGACAAATATGTCTACGACAAGAGCCTTTCTTCTTCTCTGCATCTCTCATTGTGGATTAATCTGGTACTCTGTCTATAAAGAAGGAATGTGTAAAAACACCATGCAGTCAGGGAGTTTTGTGTGTGCCTATATGAAAACATGAGATTAGAAATCTTCAACAGGAATAATGCTTGGAATTATTTTGAATTTTGAGGTTTGACATCACAAGCAGTGAATTGTTTTCATTCAGAATAACTCACTTTTCCAAGAGGAAGGTAAATGAACAGATAAGTTTTCTCTTTGGGCATGCAGATCAGTGTCACATCACACCATTAACAATACCTTAAATTTATTCATATCACTTCATTTTTTAAATTAATGGCTCTTGTAAAACTGCAAACATCATATCCAAAAGCAAAATCCCACCTCCAACAACAGAAGCTGGTTTGTCAAAAAAATAATCCAAAACCAAAATCCCCATTATAACTGTTAAAACAAGATCATCTACTTTTGCTGATGCTCTGCATTTGTGAGTTAGATTCCATCATGGAGTTGTCACGTAAATAAAATTTCAGTCACCCTAGCCATCAGTTATCACAATGCATAATAGCAATTCCACACAATAATACCAAAATATGAAGTCTGTACTTCCTTAGCATCGGCTCCTTGTGAATGTTCTGAATGTGATTTAAACAGACTTTGAACTATCATAGAGTCACAGAATTGCCTCGGTTGAAAAGATCATCCAGTTTCAACCCCCCTGCTATGTGCAGGGTCGCCAACCACCAGACCAGGCTGCCCAGAGCCACATCCAGCCTGGCCTTGAATGCCTCCAGGGATGGGGCATCCACAGCCTCCTTAGGCAACCCGTTACAGTGTGTCACCACCCTCTGGGTGAAAAACTTCCTCCTAAAAATATGATTTTGAGATTTTTAAAACATAGTAAGAACAGTTACAAAAATCCATTTGTTTTCTCAAATATTACCACAAATTTAAAATAAAAATAGGAATTAAAAAAAAAAAAAAAAATCAAACAGTAACTCTTACCTAACATCTCAATCAAATTGTTAGATTTGACAATTACATGTCAACACTATGTCTTTCCAGTAAAGCTGAAATGGAGGAAAGCCTGAGGTCAAGGCTACGCTTACCACATTTCACTAATAGCATTTATATCACCACCCTGATTTTGGTAATGCAACCATGCCAAAACATATGCAGAGGTATATCACTGAAAACAAAACACATCTTAAGGGGGAGAATTTTTATCAGCAAGTGGCATCCTACACTGTCATATGCATCTTTGTAGCTCTACTACATACATTTTAAAGGCCGAGCACTGTAAACTCATGTGGGAGTACGATATCAAGTTGACATAATTCAATTAAATCACATTCTCTTTTACTCATTCAGAATTCCAGCAGGTCACGCTTTTAATCCCATAATCTGCTGTTTCTTATAGCAATCTTTTAGTTCTCAAACACTGCTTTATAAGACAAGAAGCTTAACAGACGACCAGAATTTTGTTATATTCTTTACCAGCTGAGTGACAGCCTTTGATAATTTCAGGCTTTCAGCACTCAGCAGCGTAACAGAAAAAAGAAAACTGAGAAGTAGGCAATTCAGACAGTGAATAAAAACTAATAGGCACTACACACAAACCCTACCAAACACCTATAATGAAGCAGTGTTTCTAGGCCTGTATAGCAAAACAGGTTTAAAACAAGCATTTGATGGAATCTCAGCAGGCCAAGAAACACTGTAGAGCTTTGCAAAATGCCCTATTTTCATAACTGAGTACTGAGTTATCTGCAGTCATCACCACAGACGTACTGAAGGGAACGACGTTAGCAGCAAATAGGCAAGGATCATTTAAAAACCTTACAAACTCAAATTACTCTGTCTGGACAGCCTGGTTTGGTGGTTGGTGACCCTGCGTGTAGCTGGGGGGTTGAAACTAGATAATTATTGTGGTCCTTTTCAACACAGGCCATTCCAAGAGTCTGTGATTCTTGCATCTACTTTGGTACAGATTGTGGCCACCTGGTATAGCGGGCAGAAGACATGTACAGTAAGTTAGGGAAAAGAACAGATGCAGCAAGATATAAAGAAACTACTTGGACTGTTTTGGTGATGCAAACATACACCTAACACTAGTCTGCACCTCCCCAGATGCAAGATTGGGCTACCTCCCCAAAGCATGTAGACATAAGCACATCACCAGTGGATGTTTCGCCAACACTAATTTGGATATATTAAGAGAAGCCACTAGATGCTTACATCTTTCAGAACAGAGAATTTTGTGAGACTTCAGAAAGAGAGCATCTCCTAACTAGTAAATAGTCCATATGGTGGCTGCTATCACAACCATGATTGCTTACAACTCCATTTGTCCCATGATGCTCCGGTCCATGAAGCCAGGCTAAAAGTTAAGGAATTCAGAGGAAGCTGAAATACTCAATGATAATGGCAGACAGCCATCTGTTTAAATCATCTGTGCTCCATGCATTTTCCCTCTGGGTTTCTACATGGTATATGTGTGCAAGAGAGCTGAAACAGGTAGAGTACACAGCGACTTCAAATAGTTATTTCTAGATTCTACTGTGAAGTTTTATCTGAAGAAAATTTCAAACAACACGTTGGGTTTTTTTTTTATTTGTGCTATTTCACGAGTAAACAAGAATTCATATACATTTCAAATACAGCTCATGAAAATGGGAATGATATCAGTGTTCTTAGACAAGTCACAGTATTCTCAAAAGTTTTACTGAGAGGTAAGAACAGTCATGCTTCAGATATTTAGCATCATACAAACAAAAGCAGTGCAGTATGTTGCTTGCTCCTATGCACACCAAAAACTAATGCAAACATGTAGTGATATTCTTTATTTTCCTCTTGCAGCTAACTGTAAAAGGTTCTGAACCATATTCTGATGGCTTGCCAGCAGGTAGGGAGAAGAGATGGAGTTTGGTGTCTAAAGACCCAGAGAGATTCCAATGTCTCTTTGGTCTACATTGCTGAATATTTAGTGCTTTACATAACTTGAAACTATGCACATATTATCTCGTTCTGTGTCCACATGAATCTCTTTCCTTGTGCTCTCTTGCACTGGGAGCTTCAACTCTCTCCAGAGTTCTGAGTCCAGAAGATGCACCTTCCCCCATTTCCTCCCTGTGAATAGAACTGGTCTCTTTGATCAAACGTGGGCGATCCGCTTCGTATGCCCCAATCAAAGCCTATAAACGATAAGACAGGCATTAATTTTAAGAGGTCTGTAGAAAATTATTAATCAAATGACATTAGGAAGACTCTTAAAAACATGATTAACGTCACTTACTTCACACTATCTCCCAACAGGATCAATAAATTGCTTTCCAAAACTTGCACTTACAAAAGATGCAGGAAGTAAACAGTATTCTCAGGCCAAAGAATATAGGAATGGGGGCAAGAAATATGATCACTGGTTCACTATTCCAACACACAGCCACAGTGAGTCAATAGAACTTATTTTGGACTGTAACTCCTGTCATGAAAAGCCAAGCAGTAGAGGTTTTTTTTACGCTTAAGTTTACATTTTTCTTTCTAAAAGTCAATGGGGGAATACTGATGTTGGATTACATGAAAGAAGTATTTGAAGTGTTCTGAATATTTTATCAGAATGCTGCATATTACCTCTTGCACATTTTCTTCATTTTCATTTCAATGAAGTGCTAGATACAGCTGTCTTTCCCATCCCAAACCAGTTATAAGGAATGTTTTGAATAAGCTTGCATGACTGTTTTACTTATGACCACTGAGGCATGTTAGTATAACACGTTAGTGTACATCTGACACATTTCTATTGTTTTAATCTATCTCTGTCCTCTAAATACACAGTTCCCACCATGTCCTCCAGAAGAGGAATAAAATGGTGTGGGAAATGCCACTGGTAAATAAAGACTGAAATTAAAATGAAGTAGGCATTAATACACACCTGCTTGAGATACTTTTCTCTCTTCCAGTCAGGTTCAGCTGGATTTCAAGGAGCTCCTTGTCTATCCCCAAATCTGCATCCTTCCAGCAAACTCATTACCACCACGCACCTCTGGAGCTCTTTATTTCCAGGTCTTATTGCAGTTCAATGACATTCACAAAAGGCTTTAATTCCATTCTATCATCCAACTCCATCTGACAGCAGAAATGCGTGGTGCACATGCATACTTGTGAAGAACAAATGAGGGTCATAGATGTCCTCTCTTCCGTCTTTATCATTTTGCATGACTCGTGCAGTTCCTCTCATTTTGTTCAGTTTTGCACAATATTTTACCTTCAATTTTGCCTCTACGTTCTACTCTCAATGTTCCAAAAAAAACACTTGGTATCGAGGATTTCTTTATTTATTTTATGCTTATGCAGTTCCTTCTCCACAAATGCTCTGGGAAAACGAAGCACTTATTATCTAGATGCACCCCTCACGATTTATCTGCATACCACAGTACCAAAGGCCTGCTACAGACACATTTTTAACATCTGAAGAATACACTGAAGTACTGGGGAGAACAGATAAGAGTTAGCAGAGAAACGGTACTGCATGCAACCCTATGCAACTTGACTCCTTCTAAAGCTTTACTGCAGCAGTCATTTACAGGGACACAGGAATTAGAGGATTGTTGCTGTTTGGGCTAACAGAGCTGGCAAGAGTGAATGCTGGGACAATTTAAGGGGGCTATTTCAATTGACCAGTCTGAACTGAGCACGTACTGGTGTGGGCATATGAAAGGATACTTGAAAAAAGAAGAAAAAAAAAAAAGGAAAATTTCCAGTGCCCCAGGTTACGTTCTGATTAATTTTATGCAACAGGCAACTTAACGGAATAGGTTCAATCCAAAAAGAAGTGTGAAGTTTTGTTCAAAACATAATTTATTCATGCATCCTGTGAAGTTAGGCTTGAAAAATTCATTGTATAATTTCAGTTCAAATTGCACTGCAGTCCATGAAATCTGCATTTTTTTTTATCATGCTTGGAATTATTCATTGTAGAAAATCCAGCATTTTCAACTCTACTTGGGGACACGGCAAGAAAACCTCAAGAAATTATTTATATATATAAGAAATTACTTACATATATAAGAAATTATTTATATATATATATATATATATATATATATATATATATATATATATATATAATATATATATCCTGGGCAACGCCCAGCACACAGCATTGATGAATAGTAAATCCACTTCAAGAAGGAATTCCTGGAAGCGTGCACAGGAATTTCAAGATAAAGTCTAATTCTCTACCAGAAGTCAGTTATCAATATAATTAACAAGTTTTCATCACAAAAGAGTAGTCTCATTCATATAACAAATGGAGCAAACTCTTCAATGACTACTGCTTCCAGCATTTCAAAGAGATGAAAAGGAACACGCAGAAAGACTGCTCAATGTATTGCATTTGAGCTTCTCTGAATACTTTTGCAATTTATTTCTTATTTTAGTAGGATTTTCTGAAGTTCTTTGTGTTATTTTTGCAAGGGCTATTTTCAATTGACAGTAAACCAGTCATTTAGAACTTCCTTTCAGAGAAACAACTTTATAGATTGTTATAGGCAGATTCCTAGTGAGCTTGTTGACTGAGTTCAGTAGACACTGTTCACTTCCACAGTACAAACCTGTACATTTATGATTGTTCACTGGACACCATCTGACTTACAAGAAACACTCAAGGTGAACAAAGTCGTGCTTATTTTAAATACAATATGCTGTATTCAATTATTACAGATTCACTCACAACAGCTCCTGGACTTCACATTAACTACAAAGGCATCCAACAGCCCCAGTATAAGCAGTCTCTTCTCCTCTCCCCATTTTACACATTACCTCAGAATTCAAATACATACTGTAGCTCTCCAAGCTGTCCAAATGTATAAACATGTATTTGTATATGTATTATATGTATAATCAAATATGCTACTTCCAATACTGACCTGTAACAACAGCAGTGTGTTCATCTCCGCATGATATAGAGACCGGCTTGTCATTTTTGAACCAGAACTTGCTAGGAATGTTTTCTGCAAAGTTGCTTTTTCCAAAAGTAAAAACAGCCCCTGATTCTAAAAACACAGATAGCCAGTGGTGATTTTAGTGAAAGTAAATTTCACCTCATACCTTTTAAAATAGCAATTTCCTATTAATCCAGTTGTTTTAGTAACCTATCTTTTTCTTTTTAATAAAATAATAATGGCAGAAGTGTTCTGCTTCACCATAGCTACATGATTTTTATGCTCGCATTTCAGTCCTTCTGATTCTTCCCAGCCCCCACAAATTTCTTAAAATATCAGGTGTTATTGTGTTCTAAGGGCATACAAATTCATTTGAAAGTAAATGCACTTTCTCACTTCCCTCTACAAAAACTACTAGGTACAGAAAGGAAAAAGAAATTTGAAAAACTACCCCCAAAAAGTAAAATAAAAAGCTCATCCTGAGAGCAAGCTGAGACAAAGGATTCTCACTTATGTTTATACTTAAATTCAATCAAGTTTCCCAAATTGAATTAGAGCGAGACGCACACTGCAAAAAAGTGGCAACTCAAAGAACTGACGTCTCTTCCTCACACTCAAAAAGATACGTATGTTCTAAAAAAGGCCCCCGAAAATCAGCCTTCAGAACACTGGTTGTCTCAACTGCCTTTGATCATAAGGCTATCATAGAAACAACCAAACACGTCCTGCAATACAACCTGGAAGGCTTGAGCGCCTCCAGGGATGGGGCACCACAGCTTCTCCAGGCAGCTCTGCCAGCACCTCACCGCCTTCTGGGAAAAGCATTTCTTCCTCGTATCTAACATAAACCTCCCCGCTTTTAGTTAAAAGCCATTACCCCTTGTTCTGTCACCCTCAGACCGAGCTCTAAGCTCCCCTCAAGTACCAGAAGGCCACAATGAGGTCTCCCTGCAGATTCTCCAGGCTGAACGAGCCCGGCTCCCTCAGGCTGCCTTCACAAGAACGATACTTAGTTTTGAGTCTGCAGCCTGCCAGCCGGCCACGGTCAGCATCTGAGCACGCAACAGTCCGCATCACACCAAGTCACCGCTCCACGCGGGCGAGGAAACGAGGCAGCCCCAGCGTCACCCGTCGGCAGCGTTACCGCGTCCTCCCCTCACAGGACGGCAGCACGCGGCCGAAACGGCGGGCAGGCCGGAACGAGGAAGGGCACCGGCCGAACGAGGTGTCCCTGTCCCCCCGCCCAGCCGGCAGCAGCGGGAGGAGAGGCCCATCCCTCGACTTACCGGGCACCGGCAGCTCTTCCTCCTCCGTTGGATCGGCCATAGCAACGCGAAGCCAGTGCTCGGCCCCGCGCCCCATGCAGCCGCTCCGGCCTGCCGGAAGTAAACAGAGGTCCTGCCACGGGCAACGGCCATAGAGAGCGCCGACGAGAGGAGCCGCCGGCGGTGGGTGGGGAGCAGCGCCTCCTAGCGGCCGGCGGTGGTGCGGCGGCGTGGCTCGGCAGCTCGCTGCTGCCGTCCCGTGCAAACCAGAGTTCAAGCGCGATCTTCTTTGTCTGCAGCGCCCGTCACAGGGCACACAAGTCTGTAGTTACAACGTAAAGAAGACAACGAGGTCACTGATTTGGGATTTCTGTGTTCCAGGGCACATGGGTTGAGAAATATCGGCAAAGTGAAAATAAAGTGCTGTAAACTGATATTGATGGAGAGAAAAGTAGATTTGGATACAGAAATCGTGTCAATATTGTCATCCAGTACAAATGTAAACTCATCTGTTCTATTAAACTGTGACTTCTATGAGTTTTTCAACTGTACTCCTTTTGAATACCACTGGAATTTCTACTGCTACAATTTCATCATAGAATCATAGAATCATAGAATGGCCTGGGTTGAAAAGGACCACATCATCTAGTTTCAACCCCCTTGCTATGTGCAGGATCGCCAGCCATTAGACCAAGCTGCCCAGGTTTGATGGAATCCCTTGCTTTTTCTTATTTTTTCAGTTTTTATTTCTTAAAATCATCATTAAAATGATGTCTTAAGCTAAAGCCAGATTTAAAGCAGTGAGGTTCACCTTCAATATGAAAATTTTCAATATTCCTCGAAGGATTCAGCAGTAAAGTTTCTACAAGAAAGTCACTCAAACACAGTGAAGAAAGGAAAAGCAATTTTTTTTTTTTACATTCGTAAAAGATGGCAGAGAAAGTCAGTTGCCAACGGAAATTCTCCTCCCAGATCAGTTCAGGGTCAGAGTACGTCCATTCACTGGTTTTCAGGTATCTCTTCCCTTCTTTTAACCATTTCTAAAATAAAAGTAGATTTGGGAGTGAAGGCATCTCACTAGTGAGGGGAGCTAGTGAGGGGCTGAGCTTTGGAGCTGAACTTTTGGATGAAGAGCTGGGTGCAAGTCAGCAGGAACAGATTCAGATTGTCAGCAAAGACAAGGCTGTGCGTGTTGCAGTTCCTCACATTGGCCACCACAATCATAGAACCATAGAGTCATTAAGATTGGAGAAGATCACTAAGATAACCTAGTCCAGCCATCAACTCATTCCTCACCATGCCCACAGCCCACGTCCCTCAGTGCCACATCCACACAGTTCTTAAACACTTCCAGGGACGGTGAATCTACCACCTCCCTGAGCAACCTGTGCCCCTACCTCACCGCTCTTTTGGAGAAGAAAATGTTCCTAATATACAATCTGAAGCTCTCCTGGCACAATTTGCCCGGGAGAAGAGGCTGACCTCCACCTCACCACATCCTCCTTCCAACTCCAACTCCTCCAACTTCCCTCATGATCCTGGCCCCCAACACCAATCTACTCTGCTCTCGCTGTGCTATGACAATTCTTTCACCTTTTTCTCCTAGGACAAATATTTCACAAACAGCAAATTGCTGCAAAATGATATTGACACAGTGGTAATATGATGGTTTCACACAGAAGAGCACAAACTGAGAGTTGTGTAATGGTCACTGTGAAAAGTCTTTATCTGTAGAATTTGACCAAAGAAAGATTCAGTTTTGGCCCCAACCAGGCTCAGCCCACACTGCTAAAATCAAACATAAGGTTGTCTGTTCTTTGCACCACACTTGCTTGCACAGCAGCACAACTCATCTGCTCCACGCAACTTCATTTCTGTTAGCTCTGTCTACAGGACTGAGAGAAAAGTTGTGCAAGAAGATGCTTTTCAATTTGAAGAATTTTTACCATATTACAAGATTAACACAGAACAACAAGCATCTGCCACGACATTTTTGGTAAGCTTATCTTCTAGTTTTGTCTGGCATTTAGTGACATTTAATCAGAAAACTGGAGACAAAAGCAATTTAATTTTGCGAAGGAGTGACAGTTTCAGATAAAGGTTTCTCTAGCATTTTGAGTGCCCTTTTCTTTCCTTCTGAGGCAGCAGTGCTGAGACTAGAGGAATTTTCCTTTTAATGTTTGTGAAATTTTATTAATTCTTTCCATGGGATTTAGCTGCACCACTGAGAATGAATGTTCCTTCTTGAGTTCAGTGTACTTGCAGGTACTGCAGTTGATTAATATCTGAATGAAGTATGGAAAATCCTTATGTATTTAAGCAGTTTTTTGACAAGTAGTGGGAGGAGATTATTTCTTTGAAGCTACAAGGTGAATCTCAGTTTCAGTGTGTTTTCTTGGATTGTTTTGTTTTGTTTATTATTAATTATTATTATTTCTACTTAAACTTGAGTCATGCAGGAAAAGCATTATTTGATATAACATTCAGGTAACCAAGGAGACTTGTCTATGTAACTTGATTTTTGATTCTTCAAGGGCATCAACTTGCCCATCCCTCATGGCTTCAGATAAGTACCCATATGACAGTGTTTCTGAAAGACACCTCTAATAGTTGTCACGTGTCAAGAGTCAAATTAAGTTAAAGACTTGAAATCTAATTCTCCACCCACCTATATTTTCGTGTCGGTGTCAGTAAGAATGGAATTAACAGCATTATGTAACAAACAATTAGTGTTAGAAAGCAATACACAGGAATTTTACATACCCAGCCTAATATGTAGAGGCATTTTTATTCATCATTTCTACATTGCCTCTGATTAAAAAAAAAAAAAATGTTTTCCAAGTTCTTATCTGTGAGAGTCTTAAAGAGTTCCTGAAGCCTGGGTGATAATTTTTTTTGTGGATTTATGAATTTTCACTGCTGGCAATTGGTGCAAACTTTATCTGGTTGGTAGCGATGATAGAAAGGCAAGTATGGAAAACAACTGCAGTAAACCTAGATTTCAAATAGAATAATCTGATTTACTAAGCTTTCTATATAACAGTTATATAATTCTTAGGGATTTTTTACACTATATTGTAACATTGGTATAAGCTATCTATCATCACTGTTTTACAAATATTATAAGTTAAGCACACTGTGGTTGATCCTACAAGATAACCTAATATTTATCAAACTATATGCCAGTAATCCAAAGTAATTTCTTTCCCTGGTCAGAACGAAATATGCCAACTACTTGACCTTCTGCCTGTTATATTTTAACTTCAGTGTCTTGTCTCGTGCTTCTTGTCTGGAATTTATTTGTCTACTTCTGCCCCTCTTTCTGAAGATGTGGCCATGGGAAGAGAACACATTTCTGAAGGTCATAGCAGTAAAACAGAATCACGATAGGAACACAGAGATCAGAAAGGGATCCATAGTCCAGTGTTCCTGTAGCCTGACAAGAGCAGATCAGGTCAGCTGTGATTTGCTTAGCCAGGTCTTGAAAATCTCCAAGGATGATAATTCCAAATCCTCTCAGAGTAACCAGTTTTAGTGCTTCACTGTCTTCTCGTGCAGAAATTAATGGGAGATGACAGTGGGTAGGTGGTGTAATTGAGATTAAGAGCTTAAGAGGCACCCACCTGGAAATATAGAACCAGTAGCTGCAGAACCAGATGTTTGCATTGGTTTGTACTCCATTTCATCTGATCAGTTTAAAAATGCTACCTTTTAAAAAATATAGTAAGCTTGTACCTGTCCAAAGCTTTAGCAAGAATGCATTGCAAAGTGTGCTATGCAAAGGATGGCTATCGGTATGGTGCAAAAGAAGGGGCTAATCAGTCACTTTATCTGTTATCTTAAGCTCATGGAAACACGAGCTTGGACTCAACCGTTTTATTAATACATCTCATCTAAAATAGTGGAAATTGTACTCTGGGTGATCATCAACATCCCATTTCATGTGATTCTAAAGTCATAAATCTAGTTGGAGGCACCGTGCACTCCTTGAGTAAATGCACAGCGTATGCTTTGAATGCCTCTGGTATGACAGGAGAAGGGCCAGAGCACACAGCAACACTGTGATTCTGTGATTTGGTTATCCTCTTCCAAGGTCCCTCAAGTAATCAAGAAACATAAATAGGACTGCCATGATTTTTGTACATGGGAGTGGAATGTGGTCTGTGTCCTACCCATCCACAAAGCACTTGCCCATGTTCTGTACCTCAAAGGGCAGTTTATAGTCTACTTACATGCAATTTCATGGCTCTGCATTTGGTTTTGTCTGATTAAGCAGCACACAGTCTGGCCATACACACATCAGAAGGCCTACAGTACAGTGTGATCAATATACTGCATGGTGGCACGTTGTGAAAGCTAGCAAAGCCAGTTAAAGCAATTCAGCAAGCTGATCCAGCTGGGTCAAATGAGGGGAGTGGGACAGATTTCAGCTGCTTGCTTATTGACTTTTGCATGAGTACAATTTCACGTTAGAAGCCAAAATGTTTTTTTCTCTTTTGCCACAGCCATGGGCCACCAAATCAAATGAATGTTTGTCTGAAAGGTCGTGACTTTCTTACTCTCCAGAACTACACAGCAGATGAACTGAAGTATTTGCTATGGGTGGCCTCAGATTTGAAACAGAGGATAAAGGACAAAGGAGAGGTAAAATGCTTTAATTATATTTAAGTCACTCAGATATTGAAATACTGTTCTGAAAGATATTGGAAATCAGCAGTTTAAATGGTTTTCTCTAAATATAATCACTGTAACTCTTAAATCCTGTATACCATGCACTGTGGTTTAGTGGGAAATATTTGTGATAGGGGACAGTTAGACTGGATAATCGTAGAGATCTTTTCCAACCTTGGTGATTCTATGATTCTACACTACAAAACAAAAAAACCTTCCTGTAAAACGTTCAGAAGTATTCTTTAAGTAATACAGAGGACTACAGAAATGAAAAAAATTAAACAGCTTTGCACACGTAACTCCCTGTTATTGGCCAACCCCATCCATTCACATGTGGTGTATATGCCCCATTAAATGTAGGAAATTGAAAACAGTTATCTGTTCTGCATAGGAATAAGATTAGCATCAGAGTTCTACTTAATGCTAGTTCCAATCATCTGCCAAAGTACAGTTGCTTTTTGTCATTAGAATTAGTTATTTCTCTTTAATCTTTAACAAGTGTAACTTTTCTAATGCTGAATCAATATGTGAAAGAAGTATTTCACACTGGAAATCATGTAATGATTATAAAATTGAAATGCCTTCCATTCCCGTTGTCCAGTATTTGCCTTTGATGCAAGGAAAATCGTTGGCCATGATTTTTGAGAAGAGAAGCACAAGAACAAGATTATCTGCAGAAACAGGTAAATTGGAGGGATGGCACAGTCACATTTTATTTGAAATTGTACACTGGGAGTATGGACTTAAAAACACTATGTAATTTTCTAGTTAGCAGTTTTTTACTCAAGAGATGCCTAAAGTTTTCAAGCAAATATAGGAAAAGAATGGTAGCCAACTGTGTTTCTCCTTGCATATTAATGTCACATGAACATCGGCCTCTGAAATATCACCAGACCATTCCAACATGGTAGATCAGAAATAAACTAACAGGCCAAAGTGTTGCTGATGTAATTTCCCACCGTGATACACATCTGCAAGCTTGTATTTTAGTAAGCATCACTAATTTAATCTCGTGCAAGCCCTAACAAATGTCTTTCTAATGTATTATGCATTACCATTGTCACGTTTCAGAGTATGTGTTTAGACTGGGAATCATAGTAATGCCTTGATGTAAATTAGGGAGAGAAGAAATTTAACATGATTACCTACACAGGAAGATAACTTGATGGAAACTCCAGGGTATTAGCCTAATAAGATCAGAAGTGGAACACTATTCTTTTAGGATATAATCTTACAAACACAGGGAACACATGCATATCCTTAATTACATAGAAGTTGCTCTGAAGTCAATGAGACCACTGAAATCAATTATTCATGTGTTTGCATGTCACCAAGAAATTCAGGAATAACTACGAACTGGTGACTGTCTTATGGGTGCATTTTTTACTCAATGGGAGAAGGAGAAGCTTCTCCCTGGTTAAGTGACAGAAAACCTGTTGAATATGCATCTTCTTTTACAAGATGTAAGGGAAAAGGTAAGAAACAAAACAAAACAAAAAAATAACAAAAACAAAAAAGCAAGGAAGAGGTATATAGACTATCTGCAACCACTTCTGAATTTGCTTTTATATCCTCTGACACAGTCTGCGGATCCTGGTCTTTATACGGATTTCTTCCTTTCCATTTCTCCCGATCAAGCAGCACTTATCAGTGTGTTTCTATCTTGCATTCTCTCTTTGTTAAGGCAACCCACCTCTTAATACTGGAGTTTTTAGGCCAGTTTCCAGCTGCCTGCCATATTCCTACATGGGCAGGTACACATGAATTCTCTGAATCTGTTTATCCTTCTTGCTTCTGTATTCAAAGGCAAACACTTTTAGTCCTTGGTTTTGAAGGCTTATGGAACAGGGAAGCTCAGGAAAGTTCAAATGAATAAACTTAAGGATGGGAGTTAGCGCACATAAATTCATCCAAGAGGGATTACTCTCCAATGAAATAAAACCAATTTGCTTCTGAGTGAGAGTGCTCACAAGGGAGTTCAATGCGAGTTAACTCCTGTACATTAACTTCACACCTTCAGTTATTTGGTATTAAGTCCTCTAAGCCTAAAGCTTGTTTCAAAGGCAGACTCAAACTTTTTATGTCCATGGAAACTCTATATATTTCAGCTGCTTTTTAATATACACAAATTCTCCCTTGGAATTTATAACTCAAAACAAATGTAGGGTCACACATGTTCCTTTTAGCTGAATAAGCTAATTTTGTGCCAATTTTCTAATGTCTAGGGAAAGTGTACACTGAAGCAGATTGGAGTGTTTGCTTATAGAATCCAGGAGTCATCTCAAATAGCATTTCCCAAGCATTGCACCTTCAAGACCTTGAAATAGGTCACTTGTGGGACGTGGCTCTGGTGATCAGATTGATGTGAACAAGCTTTGCAGGTCTCAGTAACAATTAGATAAAAATTAATGTATTCCAGTTTAAAGGAGACTTGAAAAGCACTGGTTTCAACATCTGCTCTGTGCAGTGTCTAGGAGATTGCTGCCACATATGATCTCTGTGGAAGTCTCTTCCCAAGTCCTGCCAGATGATTACACAAATGCTGAATGCAGACAGTACATAACCAGGTAGAAATGGAAATGGAACACTGCGGGTAGAGAAGCTCTGTCTGTCTTCTTTCCTCATGTACCAAAATACAGAAGATTCTGACAGGTTTACAGAAGTTCACAGCCACTGGCTTCAGCAGAACTACTGCCAGCTCACTCTTCTTACCATAGGGATGAAGGGAAGAAGAAATAATTGCCTGAAGGCTACTGCCACAGAAATAACTGCATTACTTTCCATGTTCTAATGCAGTGGGTATAGTATCACATGACAGGAATAAAGAGGATGCTTTGTTTTCCTTGCAATTACTAGTGCTATTTAGTTTAACTCAGGTCTGTATAACCACCAGAATTGATGACCTAAATAAAAGAATTTGCATAAGTAGGATAAATAATGTGCCACAGCCTGAGGTCCATTTATTGAAAAACAAAAACAACAAGAAAAAAAAATAACAAAGAAAAAACGTAACAGGAGTGAAACCTGTGGTAATGAGATAGTAAATTATTCTGTCTCTCTAGTATGAATGTCTGATACAGTTTGCTGAAGATATCAGGATTGATATGACACTTTGCATGTGGCTTTGGGAATCACCAGATTGTGACAACAAAGAGGATTACATCTTCCAGTTTTACATTGCACTCCAGTATGCACTAATTTGCTGAGTAAGTGCCTGCATATCTTCAAAAGTCACCAACTATTTTTTTTTTATACTGATAATCTGGATGAAATAATCTAAAACAGATTCTTCTCCTGTAACTGTACACAAAGCTAGAGCACAGGCTCCTGTATTTCCAGATGGAAAGTCTGGGATGGAAGTACGTTCCCGGGCCCTGCACAGATGGCCAGTTCATGAACAGAAAACCAACACATTAGGACCTTGCTATATATACAGACCCAAGGTGGTAGCTCCAAGTAGGCTGCCTGACATCTTGCAGTTCTGAATAAATGTCCAGATTCCTTTTTTTTCTGCCTGGGCATCACTTACAGAAAAATACAATGAGTCCTTGGGAGTCTGCCCAGAGTGTGAAACACCTATTGAAGCATCCCTATTTAAAAGCCTGAAGTGAAGAGCTGCTGTCTTGTGTGGAACTTCATGATATAAATCACTGACATAATCACATAGAACTTTGAAAATAAAAGGCATACGAAGTCTGACAGGAAATGTCTAAGAATCACAGGATCACAGAATCATAGAATGGCCTGGGTTGAAAAGGACCACAATGATCACCTAGTTTCAACCCCCCTGCTATGTTCAGGGTCACCAACCACCAGACCAGGCTGCCCAGAGCCACATCCAGCCTGGCTTTGGATGCCTCTAATGATGAAGCATCCACAGCCTCCTTGGGCAACCTGTTCCAGTGCGTCACCACCCTCTGTGTGAAAAACTTCTTCCACCTTAGAAGTTCTCTGAATCTGAATCTGGTCTCTCTGAAACTTGGGACAATCTCTAATGATGGCAAACGGAAATTAAGGGCAGGCCCACTCACTGGAATGAGTGTACATTGGCTGGATGGAGCAGAGAATTGCCCTTCAGGTGGGGTTATGAACCATCATTATTTTTTTTAATCCTACTTCCAAGGAAATAGAGGCAGTCAAAAGGCAATGAATTGATGGTATTCGTTTTAAAGACTGAACTGATCCAAAACGGAGCACCTCACCTCAACCCTGGTGCCCACACAGCACTTAATGCCATAAGGGCTGCTCTGTGCTCGGGGCCCAGCAGCAGGGCCCACACCTGCAGTCTGAGCTTCACCGCTTGCCATTAGCTCTGAAAGCTCCCCTGTTCCTTACTGGTTTGATCATTCTTTGAAGGGTGGCTGCAGGATCGACTTAATCATTTTCCAGGAGCCTTCAACAACGTGTTTGTTGAAGCTGCACTCCTCACGATGTCTTCAGTGCCATCTGATGGCTGCAACCAGCCCAAGCAGCTTTCAATTTCCTTTTTGCTTTTTTCCCACCTTTGTAACAGCAGGAAATTTGTTAACACCACATCCCTGAGTGCACAGCAAACGCTACAGGGCTACCTATAGCCCAGTTCAAATCCTCTGCTTCGTACTTTCCCAGGTGTGGGATCCATTGCTAAACCAGTTGTGAAAGTTTATAAGACAGTCCCCTCATGGCTCACCCTCTCAGTATTTGGACACGATGGACTTTACACAGAGTTTTAGAGGAGGGAGGCTTTACACTTAAACCAGGCTAGGGCAAGGAGACTCAAGTGTGGTGAAAAAAGATCTTTGCTTCTCTGTGTTGGCTGGTTGCCTGTGTTAGCTTTCTTGTGGAGGTGCAATAGGAATGAGTCAGGACAGAATCCGAGATTTGCCTTTAGTGAGAAGTTTGTCTGTCCAAAATATCCATCAGGCAATTTTTAAGTTGCACCAAATGTTTTATATTCTTAAATGGTGCTCGGATCCTTCCCTGGTTTCCCATTCAAGAATGTGTTTCATTTTTCAGACCTAATCCATTCAGTACATTGGCTCACCGTACAATTTCCTTACTATTGCAGGGTGAAAGGATACCGACAGTGTCTGAGATCATTCCATCTTTCTCTGACACACTGCAGTTTTTTAAGACTCTCAGTCATTTGTGACCAAGCTTAGGGTTGTTATGATGTGTGTGGAAACTTGGAGTCTTCTATCCGAGTGAATATCCTCGATGCATCTTTGCAAGGATGTGGAATTAGACTTAATGACTCAGATGGTCTTTTGTAGTTCTGTGACACTAAGTCCATTAATGTAAATGTTGTAGAAATTCAGCATGATAAATGGGTTACCTAACTTAGCAGGGAGCCATGGTGATGCGTTCAACAATATGTAGTCTTGCAGCTTGAATGGCTGTTTCTATTAACAGAGATCACAATTCACGCTTAAATATTTCAGCAAAGCGTCATATTTGAGTGGTTTTGTCCTATTTATTTGCATCTCGTGGTGTCAGACTTTGAGCATTTGAAACATTTGGATGCCCTGCTGAGTTTTACTGCATGAAAATTATTTTGAGTCTTCGTTGTAGAGGCAGGTTCTTAATTTCTTTTTTATTGTTCTCCTTACAGGATTTGCTCTCCTTGGAGGACACCCTTCCTTCCTTACAAAACAAGACATTCACCTGGGCACTAATGAGAGTCTCACAGATACAGCAAGGTTGGTAAATGTTATTTAACTGATTGCTACATATTTGGCAGATGTTTAATGAAATAGTTGATCAGTCTGAAACTTGTCTTGAAGATTCTTGAAAGATAATATTTTCCTTATGGAAAATGTTAGCAAGCACTCCAAATTTCATAAATATTTACAGGTCAGCTCACAGAATCCATAGCTCTGTACACCAGATGAATGATGTGTTTCTCTGATGAAACACAAGGAAAATGTAAGAAAAATATAAAACATTTGAACATTTTAAGTTTTCCTTTCCTGTCTTTAACTATTGAAGTGGAGGACATATGGGTATTGATAGCAGAAAGTCAAAAACTTCAGTCTGTTGGAGCTTAAACATGCTGACTTCCTGTTAGATACATTACACTGCCAATACCAAAATCAGCTGCAACTGTAGCATTCAGATGTTTCAGAGGAAGTGTGACCCATTTCCTTGTTTCTGTAACTACGTGTTTAATAATGATTGAAAAATCATGGAAACTCATGAGCCTACAAAGGACCCACAGTTAAACAAAGAGTCTGAACTCAGTGTGCCCACCTTGCCAGTTCAGCAGAGCTCACAGACAGCCAGGGGATTGAAATACTTTCCTTCAAAGAGATTCTTCATTCTTCATGACATATTGCCCCAGTTTAAGCAGAGTAGCTACAGCTTCATCTAAGTGTCTCATTCAAAAGCTTCAGAGCACAAGCATCCCAGCTACAACTGGGATAGGGCAACTGCAGGATTTTTCCAGTCAAATATATATAATGGTTACGATTAAAGACAAATGGAAAATATGCTAAAGATATTTCCCCCAAAGTGATGTAGGTAAATATTATTCTCCAAAATTTTCCCTTTTCTTCCTTTTTCACTGGATCATTGCAACACAAGAGTCTCTTGGCAGAGAAGGGTAAGAGGGGATTTTGATAGAGTGCAGTAACAGGGAGATGGGAGGTTGGGACAGAAGAGGTAGAGCCTGCATTGTGAGCAAGCTCTTGGCAGTGCTGACTGTCAACCCATCCCCTCTAATATCAGAGCAATGAGGGGCCGATCTCATCTCTTGGACCCTGGGCACCATCAAGCAAACCTTCAGGAAGAGGAAGGATGTGGTCAGGGTCCTTATACAGTGCTGCCCTACAACTTCACCAAGCACCATCCTACCAGATGTGCAGCACTGTTGTCTGAATGCTCTCTGCTATTCAGACCTCAATGCTATGGCAAATCCAGCCGTCTTCTGATTCACAGAAGGACATATTTTTTGTAGGCGAATTTTTACTCTTTTTTCTCAAATAAGATAATAAAAGGCCAGTAAGTCTTTGGTTTGCAGTATCTTGAATGATCTTTGCTTGTGCACATGAAAAGGAGAAAGATGAGAAACACAAGAAATAAGGCAAAAAGAAGCACTCTTTTAGCCATTCCAGAGCAGACTGCGTTCTGTCGAGAAGATTCTTGCAATACCAACTTTCCATGCAAGACCTCACCCCAAATTCTCTGGGACAGCTTCCTCTTCCAGATCAAGCTTCTTTCAAGATCCTGACCTAGGGATTCTGCTTCTCTGCTGAGTCACATCACTTGTGTACTGCAGTGGAGTGAAGGCTTTCCAAAGTCATTACAGAGCCCCACGTACTCTGCTTCACTCCTGCTCTCATTAGAAGAATTATTGTTGACTTTGCATAGCCAAGACTGAGTAGTTTACCCACAATAGCAATCTGTTATTAATTCCTTGGCATTTCATGTGAATGAAGGATGACATGCCATCCTCATTCAGTTTAGGTGAGAATGATGAAAGAATGCTTGTAGTAACCCCAGAGAGTATTTCAAATATCTATGGTTTTGTGTCTAGGCCTCTGAAGGCCTTAGAAGTACTTAAGATTGAGACTTTCAGCAAAGGGCACACAGGACTTCGTAAAAGTCCTCAGTTTTTATCATAATTGCTGCATGTAAGAGTGGAAAGCATTTCTTCTGTGAGTATATTTTATTCGTTTATTAGATGGTCATGATACAGCTTTTCCATACTTCACAAGATGTCTATGTGTATACCAACACAGTAGCAATTGCCACCCATTAAGTATCTTTTCAGTGCTGTTTAGCACATCTAATATCCTAGGTGAAATGAAATACCTAAGTACTGTATCTGTGTTTTCTACTGTAGAGAAGTTCCACTGAGAAGTTCCACTGTGCACCATGATAGCTCAGTGGCCATAAGGTTCAGTACTGAAGAACTCCTAGGATGATTTTACAAGCCCATGAGCATAATTAGGGGATGAACATCTGAATCTATGGGGATATGCCTCTTTACTACTGTCAATCACAATGAAACAGTTTTTTCAGATAATTAAACCTTTAGAATTAATACATACTTTCAAAAATTACATAGAATACTCCAAACTCTGGATAGGAATATTCTACCCCAAATGAATGCAAATGCCCTAAAATCACAGTGCTGTGCTAAAAACAAACAAACAAACAAACAAACAAACAAAAAACAGAGACAACCACGCTGAAAGACCTTACTGCCTTTATTTTTGAAATCCTTAACTGATATTGAGCAAAACTTCACAGCTTTTATTGGTAGAAATGAAACTTATTTTGAAAAGATTCATATGCAGCATTCCAATGTACTCATGTATTTCCAAGTTCTGGGATTTTGAGGATTAAGTTTGTAGGCTCAAGATCTTGCAAGAAAAGAAAAAGAAAGGAGGAGAGGAGAGGAGAGGAGAGGAGAGGAGAGGAGAGGAGAGGAGAGGAGAGGAGAGGAGAGGAGAGGAGAGGAGAGGAGAGGAGAGGAGAGGAGAGGAGAGGAGAGACTTGTAGTTAATGATAATACAGGAACCTTGATAACTCCATCAAATCCATAGTCACCTAATAAGCCTCTTCTTCACCTTCCAAAACTTCATCTTTTCTAAAGACTTTTTTAGCCACATCTTTTTTTTCCCTGTACAATCCCTGCCTTGGTTTCCTTTAAATTTGTTTGATTACAAGTGATTTCATGTCCTTAGATGAGGGTTTGATTTCTATCTGAGTTGAATTTGGCTTTGATTTTGCATAGTATTAACTCACTTTCCACCTGGACTTCCTACTATAAAATATGACATCTAGAAATGCTGGCAGAAAGACTGAGAACTTGCTAGTAAGAATCCAAGAGTTCTAGTAGCTACTAGAGTAAGAAGAAAATCCATCAGTGTTCACTACTTGGACATCTTAAAATACTTTATCTGTCGTAAGATAGGAGTCAGCAGACCTAAAAACGTCCAAGATAATTCTAATGTAATTGCCTCTTTTTCTTGTATGATGCAGGACTAAGTGTACCTTGTTTAGTTAGCCACCTATTAGATGGTAACAACATGGGCCACACATCTCATCTCTGATGTCTAGTTTAGGTTTTCCACAGTCACATCCTTCAAGCTAGAATAAACAAATAAAAATGACAGCACTTGTGAGCTAAGAAGAGAAACAGTCACACAATCATTCCGATAGCTTACCTTCAGTAAATACTTTGTTCAGTTTCTTCTTTTCACTCATGGCTGCTACCAGCAGTCTTCAGAGAGAGGTCTGCATGGAATCTTGTAACATTTTATAAGAGGTTTGCTTGTATGAGGCATGACTGATGTCAGTAGAAAAAAATTGTTACTGATTTACTCCATCAGGAGATGTGTGTGTGTAAAGGCCGTGCCATTAAAAGCTATATTTCTACAAGAGGAGATCTCAGAATCCTTTCTGGCTAGTCAGAAAATGATACTGCAGTGTTTTTTCACACTCTCTTATCCAGTCTCTTCCTTTTTTTGTTTTAAGGTCCTATTAGAGATAACATTAACGCACACAAAATGCTACTTCAAAGTCATGCTTCGGGGCCTGATTAAAACAGAAATGCAGAGAAATGCAGAGCCCTTATCCATATTTAATTTATCTAAAGAATTCAGGGCACACTAAGTATGCTATGCTAATCCACCATGCTAATCTCTGAGTCTGTCACACTTTGGCAAATGAGGCTAAAGCCAGAGTGTCACAGTGACTCCTGCCTGTCCCTATCCATATACTGAATTTCAAACTCAGACATTACTGTAATTCTGAGACCATGTGTATCAGTGTGCAGCTCTGCAGATAGGAGGAAGAACAGGCTGGTATTGTCAGCTTTCTGTTTCTATCTTTGTTAAGATCAGTAAGTAATTGTGGTAATCTAAGACAAATCCGTAGTCCTAATCCTCACAAAGGTCAAGATATCATACAGAGACACACTCAGAACATCTTTACCTTTGGTAAAAGACTCAAGAAATCTTATTCAAACTTATCAAATTCTTCAAATATTACAATATTGCACAATCTCTTATCCTAGTTCATTTACCTTAGTATTTATTGATGCTCTATCTGTAGCTACAGTCAAAAGCTAAGAAGAAATATCAGGAGCTTTCATTTACTTGCTATAGTTTCTTAATAAGAAAAACTGCTTACTTTTTGCAGCTTGTTAAATATCTGCATTTAAGTGTGTTATGGGGGCATCATAAATAATTCAGACAGCTGAACATTTCTGATTCATTACCACTTTTCATTAATATTTATATGCTGCATTCTGAAGGATGCACTGGGGATGTATTTATTATGTTTGACTTGGATATTTTCTGCCATCCCCCAGGGTGCTGTCCAGCATGACAAATGCAATCCTGGCTCGAGTTTATAAGCATAATGATCTGGACCTAATGATGAGAGAAGCCACGATTCCAATAATCAATGGATTGTCTGATTTATACCATCCTCTCCAGATTTTAGCTGATTACCTAACCCTTCAGGTACCAATACAATTCCTGCTTAACATCGCTGGAAAAATCGGGTTCAAAACTATTCAGTGGCACGTTTTTTTAAGTGGTAATTACATGACACTTGTTATTTAAAGAGATCTTTATCCAGGAATGTAATTAAGAACCTGCTTAATTTAAAACAATTACTTTGCTCTATCAACTGTAGTGGGACTGAAGTTAAGCATAAAATTAAATACTTCATTGGAATTAGGCTGCAATTCAGAAAATTTGCAGGGAGGGCTACACACAAAGATAAAGGCAAGATGCTGGCTCAACTAATGCCAACAGGAATTTTGTCACTGGCTCTAAAAAGCTCAGTAGTTCACTCTTGATTCTGCCCTAGCCCATGAACAAAAGGAATCGTTATCCATATTTTAGGAAATTGATCAAACTTGTTTTTCCAAAAGCCAATTAATGTTACAAGTGCAAATCCCTTATATTCAGGCTCTTAAACCTATTTAACCTTTGCTCACATAAAAGAATAGATAATGAAGATCATATTTTTAGGTCTAATCCAATAATATGTTGGTTTGATGTAGCATTTTGCATGTAGATAGCATTTTACACATAGACTGCCAGATGTTTATCTGTGAATGGAAGGACAACGGTGTGTTACAATCAATCAAGGAACTAGCTTATTAAAACAGACTAGTGTACTACAGGGCTGGTTAACAATTTTGATGAACTCTTCTGACCTTGTTTACTTTCTGAATGAACAAAAATCATACTGCTTGAAAAAAGGACAGTTGGGATAATTTTGTGATTCATTCAGCTGTGTTTCTCAGCTCCGCTATGGGACATTTGGTATGTGGAAAAGATCTTGTGGTAGAAATAACAAGTTATTCATGCCTTAAACTGTGAATACAGAAACATTCATATGTTTAGAGAAAATTACTTCTCGTTACTTTGATTCATGCTTGTCTTACAATTTTCAATGCTAAAAAGTGAAGAGACCAGCAAAAAACAGTAAAATTGAGACTAAAATGCTTTGCATCCCTCAAGATATGGTACATCTTGGAGATCCTATTAAGCCAACTTCAGTGAGCTGTTCCAACTATGTAAGATGGTAAACCACAATGAGAAATTCATCATCATCAAACACCACGTATCATCTTTTTATTTCAACATTGTGTGCAATTATAAACCAGGAGTACATTACGGCTGTGTTTTGGGAGGTTTCTATCTTACCTTGCTTGTTAGCATTTACCCCTTGGTTATTAGCATTTACCCCTGGGTTATTAGCATTTTCACAATTATGAAAAGCAGATTTCATTCATAATCATGACTCATAATCTACGTAACTACTGATATCTGCCTACAAACGTAGTTTCATCCTACATAGCTCCAAGCCACTGACTACAGCACTGAAGTACCACATCTCTAGTCAATGAAAAGAGACTGCTGAGCATCTCAATTACCCTCCAGGGATGGAACTCTTTCTCCACTGATCTTTCTCCAGTGATCAACAGGGAGAAAACTGTTGAGATTAGCAGAATGAGTAGGTGCCCTGTGATAGGCATCCTCAGCTTCTCTGTTGTGTCCTGGAATGGGGAGGCTGTGGTAGAAACTCCAGGTGAACATCCAAACTGGATTTTCCCCTGGTCTAAATACCCAGGGTGGCAGCAGTGGCAGTGACTGTATTGCATCAAATACTGGGGAAGGAGTCTTTGAACAGTGTTTCTGCCTATTGGACATGATATGAAAACAGGACTTTAACAGTTGGTGCTCAAACAAAAGAAGCATCCAACGTGAACAGGGATCATGATGAATTGAGCATTTGCAGACATAGATCTCGAGGAGTGATTTACTTTTGGCCCTTCCATCATGTTCTTTAGCTCCTGGCAAGAGCTCTCTAGAGGACAACTGCATGGCTACCCCACTTTGCTGTGGGCGTGCTGCATTGCTGGCTTAGGATCTGCTTTCCACCCTCACTTTGTTATCCAGGAAGGAGAGGAGAGGGGAGGCAGGCCCTCTCAGCAGCACACCACGGGTGTTGGCACTGCATGCCAACTTTGCTCTTTTCTGCAAAGCACACTGAGATGTAGACTAGTTTTACAGCCAGCTGCTCGCAGTAAAACAGCATTTCAGCCATATAATGAACGTTACCAGTTCACAGAAGCAGAATGAACGCTTGAAGAAGCAGGAGTCATGGGGTCTGGTTGTTACTTACGCAATCAAACTTCTCATGTGATTCTCTACAGGGTAGAAAGATGTTATCTGAGCACAACCTGCAAGAAGATTAACATGGGGATGTTGAATAGTATCACTGATTCTTTAAATCAGTTAGAAGTTCACATATAACATTTGGACTGCTTTTCTGTGATGCAAAGGCAATTTATTTGATTTATGCATACATGCAAAATGCAATAGTGACACAGACTGATAGCCCCAAATTTACATGTTACTGCAGAATTTATGAAGCTTATTTCTCTCAAAAATCTCTTCCTTATCTTCTTCAGTTCTTTCCTGCCTGGATCTGGATCTGATCCCTCTGTGCTGTCAGTACCTACCCCAAATGTAATTTTTTCTCTTCCTTATTTATCCCCCTGTATTTCTTACTGGAGCTCTACGTACACACTGACCCTTTTCATGTTTAGCACATTTTTATTCTTCCATTTCCTAAATCCCATTAATTTTGCCACGTGCTTTCTAGAATCCCATGGATGTTTTCCTTACCATACCTCTTATTGCTTTCTAAAATTTTTGGTTGTGCTGAGTTTGCTCTTGAGTTATAGCCCACTAGAAATGGTTGTGAACATTTTGCAACCTGACTGGGAGAGTGTGGGGATGTGGCTCTTAAAGCTTATGAGTTGATGTGCTGTTGCTGTGCACCTGGAGAGTCATTTTATGCCTGTGACTGTGCTGAAGGGGTGAACCAGTTGCTTCCCAATCCTGCCTGCTGCCACTCTGTCTCCGGGGCAGAACCTGTGACTCACAATTTCTGTTCTGCAAAGCTTGGCTGGCCTGCAGCATCACACAGTTTGTATTCTGGGGACACACCATGCATTGACATTGATTCAATTGATATTAATGCCACTGGCCAAATCAGCTAACTTGTAGCTGAATGCAGGACAGCCAGACTGGTAATTAGAGTGGATCTGTATGCCACTAGCTTTTATGTCATTGGTCTGAAGGGAAATTTCTTTTTCAGAAAGAAATGGTTGGCATGGAGAAACATTTAACATAATAAGTACATCAATGGTTCCTTTTTAAATACTGTCACAAATTGCAGCATTGCCCAGTTTGAAGAAAGATAGCGTACATTCTCAGCCTTTTCTCAAGCTGTAACACAAAGAGCTCTAGTTAATGGAGTTTTCAAATTCATCACCATTCATCATAATTATTCTCACAATTAGGAATCCCAACTAAGATCCAGACTGATTCTCTAGAGTATGCTGTGCCAAACACCAAGCTAAGAATACATAAGACAACTGACGCAGCATCTGCCTTCAGCTCAGTTTGAGAGCCAACAGACCTGGCCCCATTTTTCATTCAGTGGATCATACATGTCTCCCAAAGGGCTAAAGCTCTGACAAGCTTTCCATTAAAATATTTTGACAGATTATTGATTCATCATTCAAAAGCTTGTTTTAATTGAGGGTCGTTACAACTGCTGAAGCCAAATGTTTCAGAGATAACTTAAAATATTGTCAGTTTCAGTCCAGCTGGAAGCAATTCCAGGTGGAGTCAGACATGAAAGTCCCTCATTAATTAAACTAGTCTTCTCTAAATATACAACAGTGAGCATGCTTATTTTTACCCCACGATTTGATACACTGATATACTGCAACTATGGTTAAGAACGGAATGAAACACAGTAGAATAAGCGTGAGAGTGAGAAAATTGACTTTAAAATGGGCATTAATTATTTAGCAGGGATTTTCCTCGAGATTAACAAAGCCAAGTTTTTTTCCACTTCATCAACAGTGACCAGCTTGCTGAAGAGTCATTCATAAGGGAGAGGAGCTCCAGAACTTCTAAATATTTCTGTGTGGCATTACTAGAAGTTCAAAGTCAGGTTACAAAAATGAAGAGAAAGTGTAGAGCACCCAAGAAGGTAAAATGCCTATATCAGTATAACACAGTTTGGAAAACCTTGGGAGTGATGCAAGGGAAAAGTATCTTCAGAGGCTCTGGTGATCTGAATGTATTGTACAGATTATGGCTTAACCTGGATCATTAGGGTCATGGCAAAACTCTTTTAACAGGATTTCCTCTGTGTGGTTGAACAAATCTATACTGTAAAATAGAAAAACAAAAAGTAAGTCTCATATACAGCAGTTTTTGTATTGCATTAAAGCCTCCTGGTTTAAGCCAGTACAATTATTTTATCTTTCTCATGTTCTTGGTAGCTGGGGATGTATGCAATATAGGATGTGTGCTCTGAGGATAAGCATCACAGTCACAGTCACAGTGAGCTGACTTCAAATGAAGAGGTTGGAATTGCAGCAGCAGTGTACAGTGGCAGCAGAGAGCTTAGCATGGGATGTAAAATAGGCTCCACAAGCACACACACAGCTTGACTCTGCCTGGGCTATGACTTTCTCCATTAGCTAAACATCTTCATTATGATTAGCTCAGCTATGCACACTCTGTGTAGCAGTCACTGCAGTTGTAGATTTGCAGTTTGCAGTACAGATTTTGAGGGTTGTTACACAGACATCTTCAGTTCTTCATATTTCATCCATAACAGCTAGTAGTTTGGGAAAACAGAAAAGTATTTAATATGCATTGTGCTTCTTTTAATTCAGGGTAGCAGCTGGTAATAAGGTGGAGGTTATTTAACATAGCCATATATTTGTGACTCACTGCTCAGTGCTTTGAGCATTACAGGCTGTGATGCCTATTTTTAAACAGTGAGATCAGAAGAACTGAGGGTTGTCTCATTTGCTCTTGGCTGTGGGTTTGTGTCTCAGCTATCGCTAACCCCTAGCTGGAAACAACTCCTTAAACAAATGCCTTACTTTTGCCTTCTCCTAGGAGCATCACTGATAGGAGATGTGGAAAGATTTTGAAAGATTCATAAAGGCTTGCAGAGCTGTTATGCTATCACAGCTTCCATGACCACAAGGTCTTGCTGTTCTCTCCTATGAATGCCCCTGCATCACAGCTCTGCCCATTAGACTGTTGCTGTCTAATAACCTGTCAATGAAGAAAACCTATTGTTTTACCATACAATAGTTTTAGTTGTTAAACTGCAGGCAGCACAGGACTCAGATGTAGATCTCAACTACATTTAATGTCATTAAATATTTCACATGCTACTATTTTTGACTTAAGACCGGCAGAATTGACAGTAAGTTTGTTCTGGAACAACTTCACAGCTATTTGTTCAGGAGAAGCTGCTGCCAGGAGAGGGGAGTGCAGTTTCAGCCCTCTTCTTGTTCAGCCATTTGGCGTTTTTGCTGAGTCTGTCTGCAAGGTAACCTGTCATTACAGCTCTGCAGTGTGGATGCTTATCCCAGCTGACAGCCATTGAGCTATGTCACACAAAGTGCTGAAACACTGTCTGGCTTCCAGTTCATACAAGGCAACAGTTTCATGGCCCGATTTTGAGCTAAGAATAAAAGGCTCTCCATCATGCCTTCAGTGTTTCAAGTTGAGGTGGAGTAGTACAGAGCCAGGTATATAGAAATATTTGGTTATATCTTCACAATGTTTCTGATGTTAATTTAAGTACATGTAAATGTGCATATACAGAACAAGCCTTACTGAAAGGCTTCAAATTATCCTCGTCTGGAAATACGAGCTGCTGTTACTCTTGTTCCTCCTTAGGCCTTATCCATTGGTGACTGAGAGCCAGAGTAGCCATACATGTACAGGCTGTGAGTGACATTAGGCAAAGCTCCAGCCGACACTGTGGGGCTGTTTCAGGTGAGGGTAATATACACACTCTAAAGATCATTGTGTTCCTTGGCTGTACAGCTGAGAGCAAACCCCTGAATTTCTAATGTTCACCAATATTTACGAGCACTAAGCCATAGCTATACCACTTCAGTGCTGAATTTACTGCTGTGCCTCCCAGCCTAGGCCTCACCATACAGCGTACATGTCAATGTGTTCTTCATCAGAGAAAGCTGCAGCGTTTCTTCTGAGACATGGGGAGCATTCTCTCACCATTCATCTTGTGTGTGTAGCAGGTTCAATTAAACCTGTGGTTTTATATTAACAGCAGCTAGCATTGAAACAGTCAGTCTTAGCACCAGACCAATTTGACCAACCACTCCTCCCCATGGCATCGCCTTGCTCTGTTCTCTTAGGACATAACACCAGGAATGTGTGACTCTTTTGGCAGGAGCACTATGGTGGTCTGAATGGGCTCACCATTGCTTGGATTGGGGATGGAAACAATGTCCTCCACTCCATCATGACAAGTGCTGCAAAGCTGGGAATGCATCTCCACATTGCAACTCCCAAGGTATGAAAACTGCACACATGGAGAAATTAAGGCAAACTTTGCCTATCCCATCTCAGCCAGCTCGATGCTTCCCAAGGGCCTCACTTAGCAGTGTTTGTATCTCAAGTGTCAGCTTGTAGAACCAAGGTTCAGAATCGTGATTCAGTTGTTTTGATGCAAAACAGGAGTAATTCTCACTTCAACTTCAGAAGGAGTGAGGAGAATTCTCGACTGTACTGTAAGTTGCAGAAGATGATCATTCAATTTGAGAAAATATTCCAAAGGCACCAAAATCCCCTTCCCACCACAAATGTGAGAGCCATTTGTGACTGATAGAAGTTTTGCGTCTTGGTTCAAATTGATGGTGCAGCTTTTTAGAATGCTGCATTGTAATGCTATATAGAGTATTAAACAAAGAATTGGTTTAGAGCAAAAAATTAAACCATGCATAGGTATTGTATTCTGTAACCACTGACATATATTTTCCTTACATTATCAGAATAATGTCCACCAGTTTATCTCCAAAGTAAACTTGCAATGAAGTCTACCTAATTTCTTGAAGCTTTACAGTGCCGAAAGACAGTCTCTTCTGACAGAAAATGTTTCAATCAGTATGTTCCTAATTAGTGTTAATGGTCATTAAAGATCTTACACATGTTCCATGGTGTAATCTATCATCTCTTCTGGCAGGGCTTTGAGCCAGACCTCAGAATAACAAAAATAACTGAGCAGTACTCCAAAGAGGTATGACCCTAATAAACAGCCTGGCATGGTAGTTTAAATAGTTTATTTTTGCTATAATTGAAGCTTCATGATTTCCTGATCTTCTTTATTTTATTCACATTAGTATGGTACCAGGTTGCTTCTCACCACAGATCCTTTGGAAGCTGCAAACACTGCCAATGTCTTAGTTACGGATACATGGATAAGCATGGGGCAAGAAGAAGAAAAGAGAAGAAGACTGAAGGCATTTCAAGGTTATCAGATTACGATGCAGGTAATAATTCAGATTACATCTTTGCTTCATCCTTTTACAGATTTGTAAGAATCAACATCAGCAAAACGTGGGTTTGGTATTTCTTTGAAGGGAGCTGCAGAAAAACCACATGCAAACACCACTTCAGCCAGAAAATACACAAAAATAACAAAGCTAACTTATCTATGTCACATGTCCTAGCCTCTCTCAGAGCTTTGCAATGAGATCTAGCTCCAGAACATGACCAGTGCAGGTTTAGCTAATCCTTTACTTCTTTCTTGTTTGGCATCAGAAAAGATTCTTTGTATTTTACTTAGGATGACCAACTCACAGATTTTGTCGTAAAGTCCATAACCTGGGCAGCGTTTCAGGCAATGTTGTGTACGTCTGCCAGTGTATAAAGCACTGATTATATATGTTTAAAAATCATCTCATTGAAATGCTTGTCAGAGCAAAAGCAGAAAAAATGTAAAGTCGTAAATCATCCAAGATAAAAAGGACATTTTCCTTGCTGATAGAATTACTGGTTTAATTCACTGTATTTTAACATAAGTTCATAAAATACTATTAATGAGTAAGTCTCTGAACTGGCTTAAAACTTCATTGTTCATTGATATTAGATCACTGTGTTATGAGGAACAATATCAAAAGAAAAAATATCACAGCCTTTTAAATCATGGTTTAATGTGCTCTCGTTGGAATTATCAATAGTATGACATTATTGTATGGCACTTGAATATAAATTGCACTTTATTGATCCACGAGGTCACCAGGGTTTTTACTTCTTACTACTGGAGCAAGAGAAATAGGAGTGAAAATTTGGCTTTTGTGAAGTCAGCATTGAACTCTTACTGACTTAAATGGGGATTTTCCCCTCTTATTCACATATGAGCAGGTCTTTTGAAGTCAGCAGAATTATTCTTAGTTCATCTTCAAAGTCACTAGAGTGGAAGATAATATAAATTTTGTTAACTCTTTTACCAGTTAAAGGTTTCATTAATTACTAGCATATTTCTTTAATTTTTTATTCTCCTTGATCTACAGATTGTGAAATCTGCTGCCTCCAACTGGACATTTTTACATTGTTTACCCAGAAAACCCGAAGAAGTTGATGATGAAGTATTTTATTCTCCAAGATCACTGGTTTTCCAGGAGGCAGAAAACAGAAAATGGACAATTATGGTAAAAAAATAATTATATATATATATATATATATTTGGAGGTTAGGGTCAGCTTCTGTTCTGCCTTACACTACAGACTTGCACGCAGTATGGTCCTTCAATAAACCCTAAATATGAGTGCATAAGTTTTGAATGCACTCCACGGTACATCACAGTATTGATTGTAGGCAACATACACTTGTAGAACAAATACTTCTGGACACAGATATGATCTATTTTGATAATAATCTGCAGTTGTTTGTTCCAGTTTTTATCATTAAGGCAAACCTTCAATATGAACTGAATTTTATTAGTACTATTTTTTTGTATTTGAATTGCTGGGTTTACATAAATGAACTTAGCTGCTCCATTTTAAAGCATGTGAAAAGTTGAGGTCCCAGGGACTGGACATACAAACAGCAGTTTCCCAAGCACTTGGAGAAGACAGTGCTAGAGATTCTGCAGTTTTCTCTCAAGAATACTTCCACTGAAAACAATAGGAAATTTCCCTGATAAAGCACTGCAAGAGCAAAGCTCTGAAGGAGCCTGCAAAGTTATGGTATGGGTGACACTGTGTGATCCATGGGAACCATCAGGGTACACTTGACATTTAACACAAGCCATAACTTTTTTCACAGCATTTCTGGAATGTCACAAAACCACTTCCAGATCTCAGTAGCCTGTTATTTACTGCTGGCTTTAGAACCATCATGTTGACAAAAGCTAGTGAAAACTTTGAGATGGAAAAAAAACAAAATGGAAATGGCATAATCATAGCTCTCAGCTGAACTCTGGGTGTGCTCCAAGTGAATATGTAGTTGAGTACTGTATGTACCAAAACCTCAGATTTTGGACACAGTTAAAATTATTGACAAATAATTCTTCAAAGATTCCATGCATGATCTTCAGCCTTAAAATTATGAAAAGTGCTCATATTTTAAAAAATTTTTACAGTATTTAATTACCCTGAAACACTAAAAAGCAAAACAAACAAAAAATGCTTTTACTTTGGGTTCAAGCTACACGTTTTGTTTGGATAAGAGAAGCGTCACAATTATAGAATCAGGGAATCATTAAGGTTGGAAAAGACTTCTAAGATCACCTAGTCCAACCACCAACCCATCATCACAATGCCCACTGACCACATCCCTCAGTGCTATTAAGCCACATCACTCACTCGTACTTACGAAGCTAAAAAAAAAAACCAACCCAAAATGTATGGGCTTTGTTTATATATTATTTTCTACCCATTTCAGCTCACCTAGCAAACTGAAAAAGGAATTATTTGCTCAGCTGTAATTTCAAACCAGGCTGAGAGCAGCTGTGAAATGGGTGGCAGTGGGGGCTGCACGGCTGTGTTCCATCCCCACTGTGTGCCTGGGTCTACCTGTCATACTGAGCAGTGCGGGTGGGATACGAAAGACCCATGGAGGGCCCTTGCAAATCCAGTTCTGGACCAAAAAAAATGATTTATAGTTAGACATGGCTGTGAAATCATAACAGTGTGAACCAGGTAAGACTTTGTCAAAACTGAGCCAGCACAGCAGCTTGTGGCGTGTGCAGGTATGAGGAGCACAACAAAGCTGCTTCATCACTGTTTTATTCACCTGATGTTCCCATTTCTCATTTCACGGCCATACGAAAGGTTTGTTGGAATGTGTATTGAATATAAGGGGAAAAGCAGGAGGAGTAGATGACACACTTTCAATTTCAGTGAGGATTTTTCATGTTTTAGTGCAGAACGTATAGCTAAACTGGGATAAATTTCCAAGTCCTTATTCAGGTATGACTGTTGATGATGCTAATGGAAGTTCTGCTGAACTTCTTCTGCTGAATGGAAGGTCTGCAAGCAAACCTGTATGTTTTTGGGGTACCTACCTCATTTTCTAGGTGAAGCTGAGGATACAAGATAGCACAACAAAAAGGCCTCAGATTTTGCTCTAAGTGTGCTTTGTCTGAATTTCTGCTTGGCCATCCATTAATATATTTTGTCTGCACTGAGAAAATCTATCAGTTGCAATACAGGACATCCTAAGTGATTTTCAGCTCTTTCCTGATTTTTCATCAGAAATTCTAGCAAATAAATCTAAGTGTGCACTTTTTGTCAGGCCAATAATTCTCAACACAAAACTCCAGAGCTAGAAAATACTTTTTCCCTTATTTATTTTTATGGAATATCTGTTTCCAATGTGATTGGATTTTTTTTTTTTTCCTTTCTACCTCCTCTAGGCTGTCATGGTTTCCCTGCTGACAGATTACTCACCACAGCTACAAAAGCCTACATTTTGATGCTTGGATCCCAGCCAAGAAAAAAATGTTCCTCATTGGCAGAATATTCTGGTCTGCATATACATCGATCCTCTTCAGAAAGGATCAAGGCAACGAATGATTCTTTAATAAAATTGTAGGGCTAGCTTTGCTGAAGTGTGCAGAATTGTATTACGTTTGTGAAAATGTTTGAGGCAATAAACTCCACAGCGAAAGTCACTTCTCATTTAGAGCCTCTCAGATACCTTTCCAGTGATCAGCATCACTGGAAGTTTTTTGGGTTCCACTTTAATGATTGGCTCTGCCAGCATCATGGATATATTGTAGTCTTAGATGTGTTAGAGCTAGCATTGTGTAATATGAAAGACATAAACTCTTGAAACCTTTCCACATAATGGCTGATTTGTGGGAGGGTGCACAGGCCAGCAGTGCTTTACTGTTGCCTTGACTACCCACACTTCTTGGGTGCTCTGGCTTCTGTTTTTGTCCTCCAGCCAACCTCCAAATCCCTCTGCTGATTGGCACAGAAAATGTACAGATCCCATGAGCATCACCTTCCTCTGTGGCATTCCTGTGGGTAGCACAGGAGGATACTGCTGCAGTACTTGCAGAGCACATTCTGCAGAGTTGGATGTGGCAAAGAAAAACGACTGGGAGGAACTGTAGTGAGGTGGGGGTTAGCCTCTTCTCCCATGGAACAGCAATAGCACAAGAGAGGATGGCCTCCAGTTGCACCAGGGGAGGTTCAGGTTGGATATAAGGGAGAACTGCTTCTCAGAAAGAGCAGTGAGGCAGTGGCACAGGCTGCCCAGGGAGGCAGTGCAGTCACCATCCCTGGAGGTGTTCAAGACCCGTGTGGATGTGGCACTGAGGGATGTGGGCAGTGGGCATGGTGTGATGGGTGGTAGTTGGACTGAGTGATCTTAGGGGTCTTTTCTGACATTAACGTCTCTTTGATTTTGATTCTATTGCTCATTTCCCTCAAACAATCACTCTTTAAACAGAATTTAGGTTAAAATATCAAGTTCTCAGCTTATTTTTTCTAAGCAAGACTGAGGATCACCATATGATGGCATTGTATACTGCTCCTTTGTGGAAAGAATTTGCCGCATTTCACCTTTGGTGCTGGAACATCACACACGTTTCAGCTAATCTCTCTTGGCAGTGAACAGATTTGTGATGTTTGTAGTTTTGATGGTGGCTGGACGCGTGTATATTACAGCTAATGCTTTGTACACTTTAAAAACACCTTTGTTGTCACTAATAGTTTCAAGTATATGTCAGTGTGTTTCTTGCTAAAATACTCAATTACTGTGATTTTTTAAAAATTGAGACATTGCAAATTAATTCCCTTTCCTGATCGTCTGCAAAACACTACTTAATTCATTTCAAAACTGGAGGCCACTGCTGGGCCACACATAACACTGAAATAAAAACAAAAATGCATTTGTTTTTTCTTATAACTGATCTGTGGTTTTTACAAGTATTTGTGTGTCTCTTGTTAACGTTTTCATTCACAACATCACAAGTATTTCAATAACTCAAGTGATCACTTGCACTTCAGCAGAAATCTAGCTGCAGTAAGGATGGAAGAGTAGGGGATTTGGTAAATATCAATATTTTACTCTCCAGTTTAGCATACGGGGGAAGGTGTATGCAATATGCTGTATTTCTTGCTGTATTAGATTATTAGATCCTGCTTTATGAAAGACTACATAGTCTTTTTGGAGCCAATGAACTACTTCCAGTGCTTAGACTTGTAGATAACATTTCTAGCCTGATTTTAATGCTACTTGAGAGTGAGACAACTCACTTTATTAGTCCCCTCATTAAAAAAAAAAAAGACATTAATGTCAGTTTTATTGTGTTGATTAATGTGCTATCAGTGAAGTCTGGCAGATTTATAGTAACAGAGTTGCTATGTTACATGTTTTACAGAGAACAGAAGAATTATCTGGCACTCTTTCGCCTTTCTCTTCTCCAATTAGAGCTAAAGTTTATGGGGGTTACCACAAACTCTTAAACTCGCATTATGCTAAGGAATGTGAGCAGGTTACTGTACATCTGAATCCCCTTGCAATTTTTAAAACACATGTATAGATCTACTGCATAGCACATAAACAATGGAAACCAGTGTGTGCAGGGAGCATCAACTCTTTACAAGGGTAGATAACAGCAGGACAAGGGGAAATGGTTTTAAGTTGAGGGAGGGAAGATTGAGGTTGGATGTCAGGGGGAAATTCTTTACTATGAGAGTGGTAAGGTGCTGGCAGAAGCTGCCCAGAGAGGTTGTGGATGCCCCGTCCCTGGAGATGTGCAAGGCCAGATTGGATGGGGCCCTGGGCAGCCTGGTCTGGTATTAAATGGGGAGGTTGGTGGCCCTGTATGTGGCAGGGGGCTGGAGATTCATGATCCTTGAGGTCCCTTCCAACCCTGGCCATTCTGTGATTCTGTGATTCTGGGAGTGCATTTCATATCATTCTATTCCTCCATCTACAGGAAAGAATGACAGTCCTTGCTCTGTCTTGCACAAACCACTCCCACCCTCAGTTATTCTGATAGTTTTGGAAGTACTGGGCAGACTTTGTGCACATGTGCAGAGCATCTACTGTCCTGTAGAAGCACTGAGCTCACTACCCATTTCTGCACATGCAATATACAGTCACTGTGATGGGTGCTGAGAGCCAGCACATCCCTAGGGTCAAATTTACTGCAGACTGTCTGCATAGTGCATGTTGAGTAGTTCTGACACTCCCTAGAGGTGTCAGGTTGGCATAAAAAAGGCAAGCACATTTCTGCTGCAGGGACCCAGAAATACAGTGCCCTTAAGTCTTCCTGTTCTGCTTGAAAGATCTCACACTCTTTGTTGAGCATCAGAACATCTTTATGAGGGTTAACCCACCTGAACAATTTAATCATTCGGGGATTGACATGTGGTAGCTGTAGTAGCGTGTGAGGCACCATTATTATGCTATGTGTTTATGCAGTGTTTAAAGGAATGACTGTAATAATGTGGAAAGTTTTTCCAGGGAAAAGAAGAGTTACCAGCATTCAAAAGGCTTAAAACAAATGCGTAACCAGTAGCAGCCACTAATAGCTTACAGGGTTTTTCATTACATTTATTATACCTTAATCAGTAGAAGTGCCATTTTGGTTGCTGTGCACACTTGGAAGATAGGGTATTCTTTTTTTCTCTTTTTACAGTCTTGTGCCTGTCTCCTGATAGCCCAAAATTTCCTTCACCCAAAGCCCCTCTCTTTTGTTTGGTAACAGCCCTGGGCCAGCAAGGAGAACATACAACATCAAGTGGGATATTGGGCTGCCCAGGGGGAAAGGGGAGTCACCGTCCCTGGAGGTGTTCAAGAACCGTGTGGATGTGGCACTGAGGGACATGGGCAGTGGGCATGGTGTGATGGGCTGCTGGTTGAACTGGCTGATCTTAGGGGTCTTTTCTAGCTGTAACAATTCTATGATTCTATGATTTTACCTCGAGTGGCTCCAGAGTTTTATACTTTTTCACCCTACATGCTTCTGCTGTATATTCATGCTCCTTTAGAGTAAATGATTACTCCTCTCCTACACCTAGAGTTAGAAATAGAATATTGCTTGTTAGCAGTTTATGCACTGTAAGCACTTGTTCTGCAGCTTGTTACCAGTAGTGCTGGGATTCTTTGGTCACTTTTACATCATCATCTGAAAGTTCATGAGACAGTGGGGAAAGAGTAAAAATGCTTTTTCAAAGAATAAGAACACTTTTTTTCCTGTTCTCTCCATTACAAATCTGACACACAGCACTGTAACAGCAGGCCTACGGAATGCATTTACAAATAATTAATATCTCTAAAAATATGTGGAACAGTAAGCTTAGAAAGGACATTTTTCCAGGAACTTGTAATACTCATGGAAAGGCTGAAAAATGCTGCTCTGCACACGAGGGGAAAGGTTTCTTCTTTCTTCTGTGTTTCCCATTACTTAGTTAACCGCTCAGTTAACATATTAAGTAAATAAACATTTATTTCTTGATTATTTTGCCACAGCTATTTAACCAGCTGCTTTTCAAATGCAGAGACGAAAATTTCTGGGTCTTGCCCAAGGTTGTGTTTTCATAGACACTTCCTAAGCCTTAAGAACCATTTTACTCAGCTCAGCACTTACTATCATGACTAGTGAAATACAGCTATTTGCCAGGCTGTTTAGTTCTTACAGTCTTATTACCAGCCCTTTGAAGAAATTCCAAACTTTTGTGGCCTCTGTAAATGCTGATGACCCCTTCCTGCCTATGTCTGTAGTGGATTTTCCCTAGGGGCAAGCAATCTGATACAACTACATTCAGAAAGCAGATCTCTCACAACCACATAGACACAGCCAAGTGCCTTGGAAAGCTCCTTGTCATGTTAGAAGACTATTGAATTCAGCTGCTCAGGGCCTATTTTAAGGGGATTGGCACCCTTGCATAGTAGGCTGTAACATAAACATAATATATCCAGAAAGAGGGATGAGCACTGAAGTTGCAACTTTTGCTGGCCAAAGTTAATGAGTTCAGCTGAGACTTAAGTCAAGCTGTGAGGAATTGCAGCAATAGCTGTAAAAGAGTGGATGGGGGGGTGCAGGTGGAACTTAGCAATTTAAGCTCAAAATAATGTTCATTGGAAGAAGAAAGCTAAACTGCTCACTAGCACAAACCATGGAACTTACCATAGAATCACAGAATCACTGACGGATTTGGGTTGGAAGGGAACTCAAAGCCCACCCAGCCCAATCCCTGCTATGAGCAGGGCTGCCTTCCACCAGCTCAGGCTGCCCAGGGCCTCATCCAACCCAGCCTTGAGCGCCTTCATGGGTCCCTCTCCAATAAGTTGGATCTAGGTAAGATCCAATAAGTTCAATGGTGTTTCATCTGGCTGACTTCTGTCTTCCATGTCCTCATCTGAAACACTCAAAGACTAAACGTGAAGTAGATGTTCTTCATAGAACATCATATGCTCCCACTCTTGGACAGTCTAGATGATAGGATGCAAAAG